GGTAAAAGAAGCGGCTGAACATATTTCTTTTGGATGCAAAGCTCTGGCTTTTTGATCCAAATAGCAATTGCTTCAGCCGTTTGAAAGATTCTCAGTCTGACGGAATTAAGTAGACTACTGTTAACACGAAATATTATTGTGAAAGATTGTTCCATATTGGTTGTATGTCCCATCTGAATTAAATGGGCTAAAATGGAGCTGTTAACCGTTTTGACTACACCTTTGCTTAACCACACTGGGAGGTGTTCACGAACCCGAATATACAAATCACTTGTTCCACAGGAGCAGTTGAATTGAAAGATACAATCGTTAATTCATTAAACAAATGACTATTAATTCAAAATGTGATGGTATCATTAATGACGAATAAGGTATAAGTGAAACCAATAACATAATGTTAAATGTGTAATTATCTCAATTAAGCGACAGAATGTATATATTGTCTAAGTAAATACTAGTGTTGGCTATTAATATTAATACGTTGTTACTTTTAATATACATAATGTTAGTTTTAATTTTTCACATGTCACTCATCAACATACAGGGTGACTAAATACTGTATGTCACTTACAATAAATAGATTTTGTTATAAAAGGTTTTTAAGAAAAACAACAATGGGGATAGGTCAGTTTAACCATTACCAATTAAGAAGTCGATTAAAAAATACGTAGACTATTTTTTATGATAATAATCAAAACGTTTGTGGAAAAATAGCCCTAGAGATTTGAATGAATACATATTTTGAAGTTTTACATCATCAGTTATTAAGATTGAAGTAAGAAAGAAATAACTATTTACTTTATTTTATATTTATCGGTAAATAAACCAGTTCTAAAATCGTAAATTTTGTCTTAATTTTGCCTTTGTCATCACAAAATGAAATGTACAATGAAACAAATGTAATAACTAGATTGTAAACAAGTCATGATTCAATCATATTGTTTAAAGACAAATGTGTTCGTAAAATTGATTTACAGTAGTTGAAGTTTAAAAGATAGTTAGAAAGTGTTTTATTGTTCAGATATATCGTTTATATTCACTCTCATAACCAATTTTAGTCATTTTTCCTTCATAGTACACATCTAATACAGTTTATTTCAATTCTATACTTCTGAATTTTTTAACTATTTGCAACATGAAAAGATAAAAATGATAAAACCTTATCATAACTACATTGTAAATGTTTTATCATACTAAGACCCCCCAAAAGCCTTAGTTTTCTATAGCAATGACAAAGCCATATGACCCACTGACATATTAGTCAGATTTTTTAAAAATTCATTTTACAATAGACAGATTTTATTGAAGTACGGTTAAGTGTCATAGATGTGAATTTTATTTTGAAGATCCTATAAAAAGTTGAAATTAAGCTGTGAAACCTAATCATTCCGTGTATTATCATTATTCAAAATTTACCAAACACCATAAAGTCAACATTTGACAATAGGTATACTACTTACTATTCTAAAAAAAAAACTAACAAAGTAACGACCTGGTGGTTTTAGTCAAATTATTAATCTACCGTTGATTTTTGATAGCAAATAAAATATTTCTTGCATTTACAATTATTAAGAAATGGATAAACTGGAACATAATCATCTCTGTTGGGAGTTTTCAGTTCCGATAATGCAATGAGAAAACGAAGTTTATCAGAATTATGTGATATATTTGCGCAATACATACAGTTCATCAAATTATAAACAGGCGATTGAGCAATATTTGAAATCCCCTATCTAAATTTTAAGTAAATTTTAGAAAGTTTGTTTCACAAATATCGACTGTCATGATGTGATTTGATTATCAGTTATCATAGAACAATATGAAAATCACGGATGAACTATCCTTATTCATCGTAGAAATGATTAAAAATAATTTTACTGTAATAAAAGAGTAAAAAAAAAGCAAAGTGTAATAAGCGTGAGTGAAAAAGGGAGCGTATAAGTAAGAAAAATCATTGAAAAAGAACATATTACTAAACGCGTGCAAATTTTTATTTATTCAAATGCATGAGTATAGAATTGGCACAAAATAACAACAAAATATATATGTGCCACATAATGAAAGTGTGAATATAAAAAGATAGAGAAAAAGGTGGACGTAATAAGAAACCAATGAACAAAAACCGATGGATGAGAGTAAAAACAAAAGTATTGTTAATAGGTGAATCCGTTAAGGTGAAAACAACTAGAAAGGATTCTTTCAACAAAGAGTTTCCTTTCTGTTATATGAAAAATGTTAATGGAAATTATAGCAGGACTATCTTAAGCTTATATTCTGAGGCATATATGATAACGGCTTTTTTTCATACCATGAAACTATGTCATACACTGCCCATCCCTCTACTTTTTCCAGCTAGTCTCAGCATCAGAATATAATGCCTCCAACTGCTCTCGTACGGCTAATGATAGTGAGAGTTCCTAATCCCTTTTGAAATGTCTTCGTATGTTCTCTGTCAGAGACGTTCTATCCCCTGTCATCTTTCGATACGGGCGTTGTTTAAAAAATTGAGATGAAAGAATTTCTGAGGCATAAACCAAGTTGGTGTATTTGGAGGATCCACCTACGTCAACCGGAAAGTTCTGATTGCATACCGGTAGTATACATGAGCTCGAAGACCTTGAAGTGACAAGCGGTGTATAAACCTATCCTTTGTCATCGGCTACTATGGGACCGAATCCCATAACGCTACACAACTGCCTTGTGAATTGTAACTCTAGGACAAAGACTCGAAGAGTGGTCTCCTTAGAAGACCACCTGGTTGGATTTGGACACCGGAGCGGTACCCTACCCCACCAAGTTAAAATAATAATTACAACTGGATAAAGTGAGCACACAAAGGAAGAATTAAATTCTCAAGCGCGAAACCTGTTCGACAAACCCTATGTCTATTCGGCTCTATGATAAAAGTCTTATATAGGCTTAATAGAGTCCACTTTCAACAAATACGGTGATTTCTCGAATATGACGATTTATTATTTTTGTCACTTCAGTAATTTTATTGCATACGTCTATTTCGAACATCTTTTTAAAGATGCTTATAAAATGTTTGATGAACTTCACATAAAATGAGTTTGAAACGCTAAAAAGTCATACAAAATATTCATCTTTAAATTTACTCCATACGAAATTGTCTTTTGAGCTCTACAGCAAAACTAAATGAAGTTCTATTCTGCAGATTATTGACATCCATGATAATACGAGTCAATTGACTAGGTTTACCTAGTATTAATTAAATAGACAAATGGAACTTATTAGACGGATCTTATGCAATCACTTTAATTAAATAAAGTATGACTACTAAGTATTTGTATAAGTCAGACTATTACCTATTCCAATTAAAACAACACTTAGCTTCGTGTTTAACAAGCAAAAAACGTCTAAAATTTCTTTAGGTCAATTAGCACATTTGGACATGTCAAATTTCTTCAGTTAACCTGATATAATAGCATAAAGGTTGCTTCAAATCATCTGGAAACATTTTTGAATTATCATCTAATAAACGCTTAACAGATCGCACTTTCTATACTTCAATTCTTTTACCACAACTTAATAGTTGAAGTTTCGGTATCATCATTAAGTATTTGATACATAATTTTACTAATAACTGTTTTAATCAATACAGATCATAAGTATTAACTGAAATGAATATAATTAGGACGATTTGTGGCTAAAAACTAGTTACTGTGACCTAGACATATATACTCCACCAAACCACTACATTCTTACCAAATTTCGTTTAAATTATTTAGTATAAGATTCATTGTAAAATCTATATATAAAATGATTCTGTATAGTATTGAAAAATATTGACAATCCATTCGTTATCGAATTTAAAAAACACGACTATTTGTGGTATAAACTACTCAGGCATTTATTAAGCTGTTAATCAAAATAGTGAAATAAAGAAGTTTACCAAGAATATACAGGCAACAGAAGCTGAGTAAATCGGTGATCTAAAGATTAATTGTTAAATTACTCGTTCAGTAATTTGTTAATGAACTCATAGGCTGATAACAAATCACGAAGCGAAATTATGTGTATCCATTAATAATTCTTGCAAATTTTTAATACTAATGTTCCAAAACAAAGTTTTTATTTTAATTTTAGCAACTGCAACTATCACATGGAAAGAAATTTCCCCAAACTTTAAAATGTAGAGACCACAAGATATTGCACAGGTTTGTTTCACCGAATTTATCAAAATGTAGCCCAATAACAGACTACACATCTATCGGAACCTCTCGTGTATAGATCTGAAGCTAGTTTAAACTAATCAGTAGAAAATACCACCGAAAACAAGCAAATAATACACAAATACCATAGACTGGAAAACCTCTATCAATGGTTAGAACCAGCTTGAGTAGTTGAGGACTTACAGCTTCAAATTGATTAAATTAATTCCAATTGACCGAAATATCATTCCAATGTGGATTCACTGTATTTTGATCGCTGGCTCAAGATAACGAGAAGCTTTCGATACAACATTATTATTGTTAAATTATTTAGTGCTGAGTTCTTAGAATATTAAACAAAGTACTCCGTATCCTTTTTTTACTTGAAGTAAGCACTAGTGACGTGGTGACAGAATTCTATTTTGATGTTAATTAATTGAAGGTGGTTAGCAGTGTCGAGCAGCCTGGACCAGTGACTACACTGCAACTAAGAACTATATAAACAGACATTGAACACTAATCAGTGATCAATGAATGTAAATATCTCAGTCGCTTCAAAAACCAGCTATTGTGAGGATAGCTCAGTGGTAACATCTCAGACTGTGAAGCTAGATGACGCATGTTCAACTACCACATGCATCAACAGTCCCTTCAACATAGCGGGTAAATGTTGCTGACGAATTTTACCCAGCGTAAAACCTAGGTTCATGGTTTCCTACTGCCTACCATCTAATGCTAATCAACTTGATTTACAGATGATCATCAAAGTATATACTATACCTTAATAATACTTTAAATGTTTTCTAGTAGAAATGAAAATGCTTCAATTATTCAAACCAATACCTGTATTTTTCTCGAATTATTATTAAATAACTAACAGAAAAGAAAAAAAGTACACAAAATAAAAAGGCAATATTAGAAAACCATTATATACAAACAAGGAACTAAAGAGTAAACAAATTACAGACAAACTGAAAAAAATTCTAAGAAAATATTGGTAATAAAATAAAACAAGTAATAAATACTCGATTAATTAGAGATCAATATCTAGATGAAATGGATCATATAGGATTAGAAGAAAACTGTTTATTATATGTATACAGAAGCAGAGGCAAAAGTGAATTTGTGATATTCTTCAATTATCCACAGATGAAGAAATCGACTAAAATAGAAAAAAATATATTTACTCATATAATTTACGTTGTTTTGTTGGTAAAGTAAATAAAAAATACTCAGAAAAAGTAATTTTATTCTCGAAATACAAATATAAATAATAACTGATTATGGTGGGAAAAGCCACGTAATCTGTAACAAATGTCAGTAAACTAGACAACTTATAGAAATACCTTTCATATTTTATAGTTCAATATACTATTACAGTGATTCGAGATAAGAATTCCTTAGTATCATATCAGAATACGATTTCAATGATTGTGTTTATTTGAACTTGAAACTGAACCCGTGTTATTATAACCGAATAATTCTTGATAAGATCAGTTCTTCAAACCCTTTATTAACAGGTATATTTTCCTTTCAGTTAATACTCTAGGTTACTGACTTATATGAATACAAAAGTTTTGTTCTCTGGGGTTTGATTTAACCAATAATCCACACTTTCTAATGTTGTATACACTAATCTTTACAAAAAGGAATAAAGACTGGATAAGAAGCTTTATGCCAAGGCCTGAGTGACTATACTGAAAACACATACCAGTTTACAGATTGCTGCAGTGACTTAGGTGGGGAAATGTGGGGATGGGTAACATTAGCTAGCTGAACCGCTAAACTGCGAACACTCATCCCTGTCCTATTAGTAGCTTTGAAGAAAGTGGACTGAGTCATTTTGGTAGGCGTAGACTACCTAGTTGGGGACCGCGAGATGATAGCAACCGATGGTTAGAGACCCTGAATGACATGGCTCAAAATCGTTTGCAATGGCGCAGGTGCATCCACTCTTTGTGTTCTCCCAAATTCTAATCTTCTGAATTCTTCATATCCCTTTCTTTTTTCTCTTTCCAAATTTATTTCACTGGATTATACTCTTTAAATAACATCTCCAAACCCTAATCTTTCCAATTACTGCTTATAATTTTACTACATCTAGCACTACGGGATTTGAATCGACCACTGCATCTCTGTGCTAACGTGGTGTGGCAACTCGAAGTGATGTACGTACGTACGAAGTTCTACGTTGTTATTGACTGACTGACTTGAAGCAATATATAATGTATACGGTTTGGTTGGAACAATACAAAAGCAATCTCATGAGGAACAATTTTTTTAAGAATGTAGTATTCCACTTCACGTGCACGATTCCCCAAAGAATATGAAAAACTACTTCAATGTAGAAACAGCCCCAAAGAAATAAGTAGTATTTTCAGTAAAATAAAAACAGAATGTCTTTAAGTTTCAAGAGTTCTATGTATTGCAATACACAGTCGATTATATGATGCCTATTTCAACTATAAACAAACTTAAATGCAATGTATTAAACTACTACATGGAAAATGAATGATACTTATTTGCCGATATATTTCAATTATTATGAGTACAGCCATAAAAACTAGTTGACAGTTAAAAAATATTCATAGGGAAAAGAATTTAACGACAGCCTTGTGGAAATGTTATAGGTTGAAAAGCTGGCAGTTATGAGCTTCGTAATTATAAAACTAAAAAAGGTAGTTTCCAAGGAAGTTCAGAATATTAGCTTGAAACAATTAACAGGGTGACATTACTGAGATCACAAAGTTAGATATGCACACCATTGGATCCTGGATCAGTGGTCTAGAAGTTACGTGTTCGCAAACGAGATCAAAGGTACTGGGTTCGACTCCCGCCTGCGAAGTCGTGGATGAGAACTGCTGAAGATTTCCATGCTATGGAAAGGCAGCTACCAAGTTCTTCCAGGTTCTCAATGGTCGTCTGAGTCAGGTCGGTTTGTAACATCAATAACACCCAACAATCACCACAATCTTTAATCTGACACCGGGATAATAGTTGAAATTTGTGCTCCGAACTTTTAAGCAGATGAATATGTAGAAAGTTCTACTTTTTACAAACAATTTCTTACTTCAAATAGTTGGGAGTTAGCTTGACTTATCTTAATTTTGGATTAACCTGTTACATGGATTATCTCATTCTTTATGACAATCAGTAAAAATATTTTTTATTATTCTGGAATTCGTTACATTAGATAAACACTATCGACCGGTTTTTTTGTCGGTTTTACATAATCGAAAGACCTTTCATGGAAATTGTGCTGAAAAGCTTTGTAATATCACGGCTATAGTAAATTAATTATTAGTATAGAGTTAACTGATAGTCACACTTTTCCAACTTAGATATCACTTTTATTCCAAACAAATTGAGTTAGAAGAATTTTACTTATACCACCACAGAATTACTAACCTTTTATTAATTAGGGAAGAAAAGACAGTCGGAATTTTTTTGATTTACTGTTGGTAATTTGTATTTCCGGAAGTAATTTTTTGAAACGGTGAAGCGGATGGGATTATTGACGTAACATTTGATGACACAGGTTGCTGTACTTGAGTAGAGGCTTCATCAACAATATTGGAACAGTCCTGTGTTGCAGTATCATCTCCAGTAGAATTCGGAAGTGAAGAAGATAGATTAGTACACAAGTCGTGATACTGAGAGAAGAACTCAAGAGTAGTTTGACTTAACTGAGGTTGATGGTGATGGTGATAATAATTTACAGGAGTAGATGGGTGTTTCGGTGATGTAAATGGAGTCGGAAACTTATGAGTAGTTAAACGAACAAGAAAGGCTTCCAATTGACTTAAAGTTAAAGCGTTATGTAGTGTTTCCAGGGGGTACACTTCTGGGACACATGGCGCACTGGGAACCAAAAATTCTTGAGAGCTTCCAGCTAGAAATCATAAAATTAGTAAATAAATTGAGATATAGTAGCTAAAAGATGTTTGTGTGGAGATTATTAATAAAACTATTGATAACAATACTCTTTTAGAGTTTAGAAAGAAAATAAACACGTAACTGCAGTTTAGGTCAAAGGTCATTATAAGCTACTCGTCTATTCAATAAAAGATAAAGCGAGAGGAAAATAAAAAGAATGTTAAAGAAAAAATTCCGCATTAGGTTGTGAGGGATTTATTATTAATATGGAGAAGTGTAGTAGCGAACCAAGAGAGCACTCTGAATTTATGAACTTTAGAGGAGGTAACAAATCCATTTACTTGTTAATCACTTAATGAAAATTTGTTACATATACTAAAGTAAATTAACTCAACTATAAAGCAGACATTTGTGTTTTTGATGAAATGTTATTTTATCCAACAAGGCTGTTTTAAGTGAGCGGGGAGCATAGTTAAGATGTGAGACCAGATAAATGAAAATCAAATGCTTTAACTGTTACTATGTATGATATCCACGTGTATAATTGAATAAATACGGATATGATAACTAAAAACATTGTTGAATAATGGGTTGAATGGGAACTAGTGAAATCTTAAAATGATTTTTATACGGAAGGGATATTAAATTTTGATTTAATATCTATTACTCAAACTATTATTATTGATATTTATCCATTTTCAATAGGTCTTGAAATTCAAATAATTCAAACGACATTTAAACATGATATTGTGCTTCAATTTAGCTGGTTTCTAGTAGAAGTATCTATCGAAAGTTAAAATTCGAAAAAAAATATTTACATAAAATAGAAATATAAAAAAGCAACTGAAAGGGAACATACAACTTCTCGTAAGTTACGGCAGATTAGAATGTGATGTGTTATAGTTTGTTTGAAATACACGTTTTATAAATCATACGCACTATTAATAAACCCATGCAAACACAGATATTTAGAAGAAAATCACAGTAGAGTTGTCATTTAATTCATATGTGAACGCGATTATGCCTAATGTAAATTTAGATAACAAAAACACTCATTGTTTTTATCACTGTATGCACAACACCAATTTCTATCTAATAATTCATGGATGTAACTAGACAAACTGGACTTCGCAGATGACCTGGTCATTCTATCCCATATACACGGAAAAATACAACTCAAGACAACTAGTGTGGCAAAAGCCTCTGCATCAGTAGACCTCAACATACACAAAGGAAAAGCAAGATCCTCAGATACATCACAGAAAACATCAACCCAATCACACTTGAACGAGAATCTCTGGAAGATGTGGAGACTCTGATGTACTTGAACAGCATCATCGATGAACAAGGAGGATCTGATGCAGACGTAAAGAAGAGGGTCGACAAAGCTAGGACAACATTCCCACAACTGAAAAACATATGGGACTCAAAACAACTGTCAACCAGTATCAACCACAGAATCTTCAATGCGAACGTCAAAACAGTTCTACTGTACGGAGCTAAAACTTCGAGAACTACTACAACCATCATCAAAAGTACAGGTATTTATAAACAACTGTCTACGAAAGATATTCAATGTCCGTTGGCCGGATACCGTCAGTAACATTTTACTGTGAGAGAGAACAAACCAGCTCCCTGTTGAAGAGGAAACTGCGAAAACACCCTCGAGGTTGATAGGACATACACTAAGGAAGCCACTAAACTACGTTACGGAAACAAGCCCTAACATGGAATCTTGAGTGGGAACGGAAAAGAGGAAGATCAAAGAACACACTACGCTAAAAATTTCAAGCAGATATGAAAAGGATTAATAGCAACTGGAAAGGATTGCTCAGAACAGAGTTGTATGGAGTATGCTGGTGGGTGGCCTATGCTCCTTCAAGAGGGGTAACAGGCGTAAGTAATAATCCAGATAAAAGAAATGTGGAAGTCGCGTTTTTCGGTAGAAAAAACAATAAAAACAAATAGTTAAATTGAACAAACCACTTACGTGTTAATGTTCGTGGTGCCACGCTTATATCTTCTGTTAATCTCTTAAAATCAGGAACACTACTAGATGCTTGGCTATCATCACGTGAACCACGTATAACCGCTGTACTTATAAGACTTCGACATATTGGCGGTGCAAACGGCGCTCCCGTGGCAACAGCTAAAAAATGGAACAAATAGTGATGAATAGTTTTCATTTTTCTCGTGTATTTGCTTCATTTTAGTAGATGTATCTCTAGTAACCCTTGAATATAACTATCAATTATTTGTTTGGACAATCAATTGCTATAAATAAGAAATGGTGAACTATTACTTTGAAACTTGAGTTTGTCTGAGTTAATTGAAATGTTTCTAGCAAATAGCTTGACAATTTTTATGCTGATAAATTAAAAGAGAATGAAATTGTACAACAACTTGGTGTTTAGTAAGGAAAACGATAAGGCTAACGTGAGGGAGAAGGTGCAGTGGGGCCGTTAAAAAAGGGATATTAAAAGAATAAAAAACTTAACGAACCTATTTAGTAAATTACCAACAGAATGAATGAAATCTACAAGAATACAAACAGATAAAGGTACATGATGAAAATGAGCTAAAGGAAATAATCTCAGTAAATGAGTATATGTATATGTATGTATGCTTCGGTTTGGACGCCGGGGAAGTATCCCGACCTTCAGACAAATCGAATGACGAAGTGTGGCGCGCATATATTTGTTGCCTCCTTGTACCAATGTTTATATATCTGAATAAATAAATATGTTGATACATAGAACAATTTATCGATCTATCAAACTGAGAAATTTGAAGTCATTAATAGAAAAGGTTAGAGATATCCCTTTGTTGATATTTAAGAATGGATTTTGACCAATCATAGGTGGTACATGTGCATCTTGAGCTAACTGGTTCTATAGAACCGGTAATAATGTATATATCATACCCATTGAACAAAGCAATGACTAGACTAACAAGCTAAGTTTTTGAAGTGTAAAACACTTAATCTATATCTTAGTGTTAACAACACTGGGATTCAATTACATTAAGTTGATGAGTTTTAAATAACGTCCGTCTTGGATAGCACTGATAACCACAAACTTATTTGTTCTAGAGTATCAAAAAATTTAGAACTGAAATCGAACTACAAGTTAGTCGCAATGTTGTAGAGTTGGTAAAACTGGTAGATACATATATTACATACAATTAGTATCAAAGTACTATTTAGATATTCACGTGATAATTTTAATTACAAAAAAGGTATGCCATCTATAAGTACATCAAATAAAATATTGATGAATGCATTTAGTATTTTTATAAGTGTAGATGATAAAATAAAAGTTGGAAAAACATGCATCCATAAATGACGTGCAACAAACCGACATCAAATGGAATAAAAGCAAAAAACAAACTTGAAACCTATTAATGCCTTATACTATAATAGAATGAAAATCTTTCCAATATCATGCATAGTTATTTCAAAAACATCAAAAACCTATAGAAATATTCAGTCCGAACTTTCTTTTTCAGTAACTATACTACATTTGAGTATAAGAAAAACTAAGAATTACAAGTGTTTATACTGTTGTTATACACATGATATTTTAATACTATAAACTCATAAAACATGATGAGAATATTTGTTAGGAAAAACAAAATCTATTTAGATATTCACCGAATAAGACTGCTTTGAAAGAATAACATATTGTTTTATATTTGAAGCAGACAAAACTTTACAAAATCAAAAGCGAACATACAAACAGCATTTCACATTAGCGTTATATGAGACTATTATAATTTTCAAAAGGGATTAAATGTTTTACAACGGTTGTAATTATATTTAAGTGATAATCTACAAAGTATCATTTAGACGTTTTATCTAACTGATATTATTTAGCATCACTTTGGTTATTTTTGTAGAGAAAAAAAAGAAGCACAGAGATATGTAATGGTTATATTTCTTGTACTTTTTCCTTACAAAAATAAACATAAGAACTGAGAAACCTAACACAAACTAGAATAAACAAAATGTTGTAAGGCGATAAATAGTTAATATACTGAAACAAAAAGCTTCCAAGCGTAAGTAAGTAATGTATGAAGCCTTAAGAGCATTCACACTAATACGACAGTAACTGACTAAATATACATGAGAAATTATGTTCCGACTAACAAAAATGGTATGACTAATTATAACAGCTGATGATAAGAGAGAAGCAAATAATATATACCATCCTAATAACAATAAGCTAGTTTTAAAAAGCAATTTTGAAGCAAAAACCGACTTTAAGAAAATCACTCACTGCTTACATTGAAAACCAGTAAAGGAAGTTTTCAGTATGGGCTTAAGGAGATTGTTGAATTTCGTTGAAATTACAAAGCAATCTACGTTGGACAACCATTGTAAACCTGAAAGTACTGGACGGCCGTTTCGTCCTAGTATGGGAATCCCTAGCAATCTGCACCCATGACCTCGTAGGCAGGAATCTAACTCAGGACCTACATCGTCAAATGAGGACGCCAAACAATTTCCGCAAAACTATGCTGAAAATTATCATGAGCTTACCAGTGACTAGCTTCGAGAGGGAACTTCCAGAATACTTGTAAGCAGCCGTGATCAATGGAGAAAATTCTGTTGGGTGTGGGAAAGGTACTCACTTAAGTCAATGGAAGATGGTCACGCGAAGCCGTGAATTGATTGAAGTTAAACTTGAACAAGGTCGTGGATGCATACGGCCGAGGAGTCACAATATTGGGACGAAACGGTTGTCCAGTACTTCGAGGCTTCTAGTTTTTACCTAACTTATATCAGTTCATGATTTCAATGCCATACTAGGAGCATGGTGAAAAATATGGTGACAGTCGAGAGTAAGTAAGATTTAAAACCACTAGCAAATATGAAAAGTGTAGTGTTTCTTAATCTCTATGATTTAATCATTTCAGATATTATCTATAAGTACTATAGGTCAGATGTTTGAATACAATAGTTTAATTAAACAGAGGCCGTTAGTCCAGGTCAAATGAAATGTACTGTATCAACAAACCATGCACCATCTATTCAAACTAGAAACAGGCAATAATACAAAAATGATGCCAAATGATGTTACGCGAAAACAACGAACACTGTATAAATGAAAAGTGTTGTATAGAACATATAATTTACGGGCTGCAGAACTGAAACGTCTGTAGATCTGTTCAGTTTCTAAAATACAGATGAAAAAGATTCCAAATTGTGCAAGTATACACACAATTCATCTAAATAAGATGACAGTATACTGTATATGATCTGGTCGGAATATAAAGTTAATGGTATTTTTAACTAATAAAACTGATTATTCTTTATTATAGTATGTACTGGGAGGTGACTCTATCGTGACCAAAAAACAAGATATTTGCTTAAGAAATAATAACTCGTAATTACATTAGTCACAATTAAAGAAAAAGGCATGTAAGTAGAGTATTAATTAAGCTGAAGTTTGTCGATAATGCTGAATATTATATATATATATATATATATATATATATATATATATATATATATATATATATATATATATATATATATATATGAACATTAGTGAATATCTCTAAATAAAGAATCAGTTGAACCCATACATTATAAAATTATTAGAAAAAGAAAATATCGCTCAACAGAAAACAACAATATAGTTGTCAGATTTTTTTCGAAATATGTTTTCAAGTATCCTTTCATGAAAAGAATAACTGGAAATTTTTAAACCAAACAAAATGTTTACTGCAACGAAATTCTGTAAAGAAGATAAACCAAATTATACATTCAGTGTAGTTTGAAAAGTAATAAGCAAAAATTTTTTATTTATTTGAACACAAACATTGGTACAAGGGGGCACCGAATAAATATGCGCCACACAATAATAATGAGTCCAGTAGTGATTAAAACTGACTTGTGTGAGGGCTGGAATATTAGCCGGATGCCCAACCAAAGCTGATGGCTTTCTTAGAAGGCCACAACTGGAGCCTCTGACCTAAAGGTCTAATCCACAAGGGGGTGGAGCAATGTAAGGAGTTGCACTTCCATGGTAGCCGGTGACCAACGATTGGTTCATACGCCATTTGTTCCTTCAGGATACTGGAGCCCATGTGCACTATTGGTTTAGAATCAGGGTTTTCCAACTCTCCTAGGTGGACCTTCTGTTTCCACCAAACCGATTAGAGCGCCAAACATTCACTCTTCATCCTCTCAATTTGGTAAAAAACACCTTACCGCAAGTAGGCAGTGAGTAGGACTTTCTTGGTAGTGGCTGTACAGGAGTGGTCATGTGAGAGCATTTCGAGAGAGAGCAGACTCTCTCCACCCTTGGTTGTACAAGGGCATTTGAAGACAACGTGGTATGGTATGTGATATATATTTATAGGTACTGCTAGCCAGAGCATTTTGAAGAAACATTTCATAGCAATTAGCTGACTGACAGAGATATAACTAGTCTATGGATTTATGTAAAGAATATAAATTTTCTTAGTAAATTAATGAAATTTTGAACTTTTTAACACTAATTAAATTGAATGATAGAGATAGGTTATATTCCTTTTTTTGTTATAAAACATACCTCTTATAAGACGTCCAATATCTAAATGATATGGACTTTGACGACTAGGGTAAGTGATAGCATTCAAAGTTTGGTTGATAACAGGATCATCATCTACACCACTGTCAGCCCCAGATGATGACAAAAAATTGTTGACTGGTTGAGAATTAATTTGACTAAATGGCAAATCCATTGCAAATTGAGTCGATTCGTTGGGACACACCGGTTCATCAGAAGGAAGTGGAGTTAAACGAGCTCGAGTAGATGTGGAAGTTAAATCTTGATTTTTTGATGAATGAACAGAGCCTGTGCTATTATGTTGATTTATTCTAGTAGAACTATTTGAACCAGCCGAATCGTATACTAATAACGAAAACAAATTGATTACAGACTATTTAAACAGAGGTGGAATGAAATGTCAGAATAGAATAAAAGCGGTAAACAATAAAATTACACGCTACCATACTTATTTTTTAGTGCACAGTGTTCCGCTAAAAAAATATTTTCATGAATTAAGAATAAAGGTCAACGCCTAGATGTTGTTTTCGTTGTTGTGGGTCAATCTATGATTGACGACGTTTAACTTTGTGATACTCATAAAACATCAAGATTTAAGACTAATGTTTATCATTCCTTTTGAAAAAAAAGTTAATCAGTTATACGTAATGCAAAATTTGGCACATATAAGTATCGATCCAATTTGTCATACTACATTAGCACAGTGAAACGAAATTATCAAAAACTAAAGCCTAGGTTAGAAGAAGAAGGATTAATAGTAGAAGAGACTATGGAAAAAAGAAAAATATATTAGATTTCGGAATCAGGATTTGAGGAAAGAGAGTGAATGTACCTGAATCATTAAGATTAATTTCGAGCCGTATGATATGACGAGAATCAAGTCAAAATTCAATTGATTTACTAATTATGAGTTTTGTTCAACATTACTACCGTTATGATTCAATGTAATGATCATTCAGTGTATTATTTGATTGTTTTCCCAGTATAATATTTTCTTCTGTATAATAAACGATATTCCTGTATCCACTTGACATGAACTATGCTCAGTAAGTGATTTGTTATAACTGAGTATGTGATTTCATCCTAATTATTAATCAAAATGGGTGTACAATCAATATATAAATGGGTGTATTTTCTACTACAGTCATTGTTGTTGTATTTTGTAGTTAACAAATCATCACTTCTACCAGTCTTTGTGTTCGTACTTTCGCGTCGTGGGAATTGCAGAGGTCCTTCGTTCTGAGTACAAGTGATAAGCGTTTCCAACATAACAATCAGAGACCACCGGATATAACAAGTAAGCATTCAAACGACAAGACACATCACCATATTATCCAATGTCTCCATCCACTAATTACGATATTCATGTGAACCCAAACTAGGTAGCTTGTACTTACCCACATGGTTTAACCCATCTGTCAATGACTTCATGGACTGGTGCCACGGTTTGGTATGGCCACACTTAGCTTTCTTCCTGACTATTCCTGTACTATATAACAACCATCAGGGTAGACGGCGGTTGGGCACAGCTAATACATGTACAAACTATTGTAGTAAATGAAAATACAATGCCTTAGTTAATAAAACTGAATAGATACGAAGCAAGATTTTTCATGAAGAGGGAGAAAATCGCATCTGAAATATTCTTGATCATCCATTAAGTCGATCAGAAGAGTCTGTATATTGCTAGCGTCATTAACTAAGTCAGCAAGTGAATATCTTGGTGGGCGATCAATTCCTGAGAAGGTAAACGGAGAGAAAGTTATCTCTAAAAGAATGTCTACGACAGAAATAAGATAAATGGACAGCTTTGACGAACAACAATTGAGGTTGACACGTCTGACTTTAGATGGTCATAAGCCCTAACTCGACACATTAGTGCTCGAATAGAATCCGTAATAAGTTGATTTATTTCTTTTTTACGCTTTTCAATGACAGATAACGTTTTTGCTACCTTGACGTGATGGTCAGGCTTGCCTATCGTGACGAACCAATCGGGCTATACTGGCGGGGACAATTGTTCCGCAGCGTCGGTAAGGTCCCAACAAGTACGAACCTAACACGAAAATTACTCAAAAAAGGTTGTAAGTGACCGACCTCAAGCATACAGGATCCTAATGTGGTCATTCACCTCGCCAAAATGGAGAGTTGACGATACACCCTACGTGTATTTGACGACCCGATGGCTAGTTCTCGTGGACTGACAGGTTTAGGCATAGCATTAAGTACGAGCTCAGAACAAGCACCATTAGAATGGATCTCCGTTAACAGTCGTTTATATGCTGTTCGGCTAAACGGCTCCATACGAACTCAAAAAGATGAGGAAAGACGTCGTTGCCTTTTCGTCATTTCTGCCTGCATCCCCACTGACTGCAGCCCGTATCAAGTGAAAGATGACTTTTACAGAAAACTTTCTAAACGTATTCAAAAAGCTAAACACTCAGACAGTATATAATGGTGATCGTCTGCTGCAACTGTTCTCAGACAACCGTTTGTTTTTAGCAAAATAATTTTAAACTTAAGGGAAGACAACGTCTAACATGGCGATCCCCTGCACCAAACCGATGACGAACTCAAATAGACCATATTGCCATCACTCATCCTTGGAGAGGCTCGACGGAAGATTGTCGCTCGTTCTGGAATACCTGCTTGGACTCCGACCATGCTCTAATACGGCTACGTATCTGCTTGCACCTCATTGGATGCAGAAAAGTCACAATAAAAAGAGCCATTAGCATTGAATTGAGTAATGAGAAAACCAAAAGTCTATTCCAGCAACAACTGAGGTCACATTGAGCAGTTCTGAAAACGAGGTTGACCCAGATGTATCTTGGAAAGATACGAACAGCTGTGGAAACAGCAGTGACATTTATTAGTGATTTAAACCAAAGTGTCACAAAAATCCAATGGATTTCTTCTAAGTCTATTTCACTGATGGGTTATCGTAAACTCATCCCATCAAGTTCTGAATACGATGGTGAACAAAAGCAGATCAGATCTAGGTTAAGTAAAAGTCTAAGGAACGACCGTGAGCAGTGGTGGGCAACTAAAGCAAAAGAGATGGAAAAGGAGGGGGCTGTAGGTAACACCAGACTAATAAAAAAACTGGAATTAAGAAGACAAATGTAAGTGAGACAATCTCAGAAAATGACGACACCCTTATCTGCTCTCATTCCAGATATTTAGAACGATGGGTGGAACACTTTAAGGGGCAGTTCAGCTGGCCTTCAGCTACCTTACACAGCCACTCACCATTCCCAAACAGTCTGAATGGAACATTGAAGTAGATCCTCTACTCCAAATAAAGTTCAGAAAGCTATAGCTAATCTGAAAAGAAGAAGAGCAGCTGGTCCAGATGAACTAACTCCAGATGTCTTTAAGTATGATGCTCCAGTTTTAGCGATTAGGTTAACTAGTGTTTTAGACAAAATCTAGGAATTCGTCGTAATCCCATCTGACTGGTCGCAATTACTGATCTTCCCAATATATAAAGAGGGGTTAAAATCATCCTGTTATAACCATAAAGGGATTAGTTTGACAAATATAGCATTTAAACACTAGCCACAATAATTATCGGACACCTAACAAAGACTCGTGAACTGCAAAACTCCGAAGAATTAAAAGTAAAACATTGGTTTGCATTTTTAGATCTTGAGAAAATGTTTGTAACAGTTTGTTATTTAAACAGATTTAATAATAATTAGTATTCCATAAATACGGTTAAAATGGTAATTATTAGATACTAAAATTCCTTCATCAAAGGAACAATGAAACCATTTCCAATAGCTAAATGCCGACGATTCCACTCATTATAAAAAAGGTGATTTAAGAAATAGTTTATTGAATGAGCGAATTAATACTTATTCATAACTATATATATATATATATATATATATATATATATATATATATATATATATATATATAACAGTGTTAATGTATGCGAGAAGCACATAGGTATTAACTACACTGAAGAAAGGCTACGGAAACTGATTATTAGGAGAAGAAGAACAGAATTTCATCACTGATGGGAATTATAAATGTTTACTGATGAAAGGTATTTTAATAATGGTGAAAATAAAATTAAACGTTTTCCAGTTAATTAAAGAACGTATTGTCTTGATTTTATTTTCGCATATAAATTTGGCATAATGCACACAGAGAATTTCTTACAGAGCTAAAAATCTTTCTTAACAAGAAATGGCAGATGCAAGAAGAAAAAGCAAGTTAGATGAATAAGAGAAAAAAAAGCTCTCATGCAAGAAATTAATATGATGGTGAAATTGTCAAGAACAATCTCATGATGATACTTAAAAGAACGTATACTCACATTTACGAGCCCCCAAAGTTAGCCATTTCGGTGTTTCTCGAACTCTCTACAACCAGAAGACACGTGGGCAACAATAATGATAATAATAATCAAACTACAATTATATAATAAAAACATCATACAAAATGGATTAATAGTTGAAAAATAAACTTTTGATAATTGTCAAAAAATTATGTTGACAATAAAATAATAGTCATTACTGTAAAATTATATGCCACCCTAGTCATGAAACATAACTAAACAATTTATTGAATGGATGTATGAAATTTTGCCACCAAGCATAAATAGATACTTTGATTACGACGGGCGAGGAGACAAAAGTATAAAATAATCCGATATATAAATTCAAGGTTTCAATATCAAAATATAAGTAGATATAAACTGAAAGTGAGAGAATAAAATGTAGAATCATTAGTGGAATTTTAATAAGACAAGTATATTATATTGTATGAATCACATATCAAACGAATATTGATACAAATTTTATTAATATCAGATGGGATTTGCGGAGATTGTGGTAATTTCAATGGTTAAGATCATGAGTCAGTTGAAGCTAGACCACCGTGGAAAACCTGGAAGCACTTGGACGGCCGTTTCGTCCTATCGTGGGACTCCTCAGCAGTCGTGGATGCGCACTGCTGAGGAGTCCCACAATAGGACGATAAATTTTATTCTCAGAAAAAATCTTTATCATTATATCAGAAAATTTACAATTAAGCGAAATATCTGTTTATAAAATATTTGCATCAAAAAGTTAGTCGTCATAAATTATTCATGACACTTTCGTTGACGCGACAATATTTCTAATCCTTTGACATTTAAGTTTATTAGGATAAAACTTTTTCATTGATAATAATAATCATGTTTTGAAATAAGTAGTTCACTATGACACTGAGAATTAACTTTTACAAATAATTTCAATCAGACTATATCCAGCTTTGAATAGTATGGTTTAAACTACGTATGTAAGTCAAGATTTTCAGGATGTTTAAACTGTTTAAAAAATATATATATTAAAATATTTCCATATAAGACGAACTAATAACTCATCTCTAAATATAAACCAGTAAATATCATTTATTTCTTACCTTGTCTTCTATGTTGATTGGATTTGATTTGTGATCCCCGTTGTCACATTTTTCATCTGATTTCACTAAGTGTTCTGACTGCTTTGAAAGCCATTGAATTACAGGAGCGAAACGTGACGAATTAGTATTTGAACAGGAACATTCAAAAGACAGTTTTTCATTATAATCATATTTCTTAAAGTCGACAAAATCAGTAAGCTTACCTGTCGTTTGAAGTAATTTTGAAATACATGAATATCTAGGTTTTGATGATAGGGTTGTAGCTAAATTTTTCCTTCTATAAACATCAGGATGACATGAACTAGACCTATTACGGGCAGAATTTTGGCAGAAATTCGAACGTGAAAAATGTTTGAGGTGATATGTTTTTAGTTTATTTGTATACGGTAATGTCGACAATAATTTATCAGTTTTCGATTCATTTGGAAAAGTTGAACCCAAACTACTTTTATTATCAGTGAACCGCGTGACAGTAAATCGTCCAATACCAACTTCTGTATTTGACGCTGTAGGAGTCCCAATTAATTCTAGCGTAGAGGTTGATGGTACAGGTGATAATGGCAAAACAGAAGGACGACCTTGAGATTGCGATCTGTGGTTGACAATCAAAGTTTCTTCGTGATTAACAGTGTTTTCTCGAGAAACATTTGAAGCGAGATTACAACGAACACTATGTGACCTGCGAACCGGACATTGCTCGGTAAGAGATGAATCATTAAAAGTCTCTGTTTGATTCTTACATAATTCATACGTATTCCTATCACTATCAAAACTCCAACGAAACAAATCTAAAGAATCAAGTTTTTTTGATACCATTGTTGTAGATTTACCTGAAGCTTTGTCGTTAGCGGAAGATCCCGAGAATGAACATTCACTCGAGTCAAATGACCCAAGATTCTGGTGATATTCACTACTTCGATCTGTTTGTCTACCACTATATTTATCAAACAGATCTTTCCTGTCTTGTTCACTAGCAGGAACAATAGGTGTAACAGAAGGGATTGCTGATTGCGGCATTGAGTCGGAACTTCCTTTATCCACAGATGTACCGCTACTCATTACACTCATTTGAGAATTTAGACGCTATTTATTTATTAGTATGTAGTATATGAAAGATGTTCATCATCCGAAATACATACATAAGATGCAAGAATGAAACATAGCAAGCAATAAAGCGAAATAATAAAACAGTGATATACAAAGTAAGCGTGAAGAGCAACACAGATGAGTACACATGCATAAACCCGTGCACACAAACAAAAGTAAAAAATTAAACAATTATACATAATGTTTACGCAGACATATATATGATATGAATCAGAGAAATAAAGGAAGCAAAACACAATGCCGAATTTCATATTAAAACATTTTTGAGCAAAAATTACCCATTTTTAGGTTGTAAATTTATGAACGTACGTAAAACCCGTCAGTGTCCATATGATAGTGATGAGGAAGGAAATAAAATCAGGATGAGATGAAAAAATGGGGATAGTTTTATGAGACAATAAAAACTGACTGTGATATACAATATTTATTTGTTTAATATGGTAAGCAATAACAAATGCATAACCTCTAAAACAAAGTGAAACTATACAAGAAACAAACTTCATTTTTCACAAACTAGGGTATACACAGTCCAGCATATAGTTGAAGTTATAATGAGAATTAGACTACTTAATAAATGCATGAAAAAACAACGGCCTCAGCAAACAAAATATGATGATAACGTTTTGTTATGCAGAATAGGTGAGAAAGCTAGGAAATACCACTTATCAAGATACGGATGATGAAACATTAATATAACAAGAGTTTAATATATAACAATTACCTTTTCCTAAGAAATATATTATGATTAGTGTTTTCACTTTTAAATTTCCTATTCACCAAATCCTAATCATCACCGATTATAGATAAATAATCTAACAATAAGTCGAGGATATTTGGATATCAAGAATTGGTTGATAAAATCATTTCGTCGGAGCAGGTTAGTGTCATAATGAGACAAAAACGTTTTCTCTCACAGGGAATGTGTTAGTTGTTAATCTCAAACCCTGAACTTATCATCTTCAACAAAAAATTATGCATAATACTCATCAAACAAAAATGATCGACAACTTACTATTGTAATGAATAAATTCATACTGAATGTATTGAAAGGTGTTGAATTTTATTTATGATGAAGAACAATGGACTAATATAATGGAGCATACTAAAGATGTATCAATCATAGAACATAACTTTTGTTGAAAGATATTCAGATACTGGGATATCATATAGGTTATCCCAAACTGAATTATTTGTTACATATTATTATTTGAACACATAAATATTGCTAAAAAGGTGCACCGAATACATATGCGCCACACAAGTCACTTGATTTGTGTGTGGGCTGTGATAATGCCCGGGTACTCAGACCGAAGCAGGATCCTAAACTGAAATCCCTCAACTGCTTAGTATAAAATAATAGGCAACTACAAACAGCCAACAGTTTTCAAGAGGTGACTTTATCGAAATTAGATACATGACCTCAAATCTACACATTATTTTATATCAGTCACTCATTTGAAAACAAGAAACAGATATCTAAACTAAAAAGCCTCAGTATCACCAAAATGTCTTCACATAGTAATCTTAAACTGAGAATATTTTCAGCATTAACTTATGCCAGACTTGATCCTTTATAAGGTTTTCATAAGACGTACACTCTGTGCACAGGTAGCTAGCAATATTTTTTTGCATTATTTAAGAAAATCTGTTATAAAATGCAAAGAAAAACGTTTTTTCTTTCAAAAGGTATAGCGATAAATCATATGTGAGGTAAATAATAAAAACCTACCACCAATTTTCCCGATCGAAAACCACTCCCTTCAGGGAGATCATGACATAATGCAAAAGCACCAGGACTAAAGTGTAATTCAACATGGAATCGTTTTTCAGTTTTCGGTTCCTACGGTTTGAAATAATTTATAAAAAAAGTGTTCATTGTTAATGCAAATGTCCGAAAACACAGAAGATTAATGTAAAAACTGCCACCGGTTTGACTGGTTTAGATGTGTTTTTTAAAGAAAAACAAATGAAACATGGACGAAGCATTTACGACTGTTCAAGTGGTATCATTAAATGTCGGAATGAAGATAAACCCTTTACCACTTGCAATTTAAGTGATAAAGTTTTTCCAAAGTATACGAAGACTCCAAATGATACAGCTTAACGTCGTACTGAGGGATATAACATGCGAGTTATTCTTGCTAACCAACATATCGATGAAACAAAATGGCAGGAATATTACGTCAAGTATAATTCTCATTGGTCTATAGTTCATCATTCATGGAAACGTTTCACAGTTATGAATTTAAACATTGATATTTGACGAAAATTACCATAATAATTGTCAATCATGTTTAGATCATAACTCCACCTGTAGCTCTCCTACAGATACTGCCGGTCCCAAGCCCGGGTAAACGAGGAGGGTTGGATATGGGTCGGCAAATCCACCATGTAGAAAAAAAATCTTGCTAAAAATAGGCTAACCAGACTAAACAAAATAAACCATTTAAACTCTATCCTGGGGACTGAAGGAGGAAATATGACGCCTCAGGAAGAAAGCCAAGATTCTTCGGAAGTCATGAGGCCGATGACTCTTCAAAAAATCAGAGCAATAATTTTCACAGGTGCATTGAACTTTCGGACAATGTGGGAGACCAGGAAAATCAGCCAAATAGCAACGAAAATGAGGGGATACAACTTGTCAGTATTGGGAATCAGCGAAACCCATTAGACCCAAGCTGGACAACAAAGGCTAGAAACTTGAGATATGCTGCTGTACTCTGGTCACGAAAAGGAAAATGCTCCACACACTCACGGGCTTGATTTGTTGTTGTTTAAACAAGCATGCAATGCACTTATTGGGCGGGAATCTTATGGACTCACGAGCTTCTTCAAAAACGAAGAAGAAGGAAATTACAATGAATGTTATCCAGTGTTATATACCCACAAATGATAGCAAAGAAGACAACAAGAATAAGTTCCATGAGAGGATGCAATGAATCATAGCGAAGTGCCCAAAAAGGATCTCACCATTCTGATAGGAGACCTATACGCCGAAGTCGGAATGGACAACACCGGATATGAAGATATCATGAGACGACATGAACTAGGAGAAACGAAAATCGGGGAAGATTTGCACCTCCGAGTGCATTCAACAAATTGGTCATAGGTGGCACAATATTTCCACACAAACGTATACATAAAGGTACATGGAACCCACCGGACCACACCACAGAGAACCAGAAAGATCACATTTGTAACCATAAATAATTCCGAAGGACAATGGAAGATGTGAGAACCAGGAGAGGAGCTGACATAGCTTCAGATCACCACCTAGTTGTGGCCAATTTAAAAATGCAACTAAAGAAGAACTGGACAACTAGACAAACAGCAATACAAAGCTTCAATACAGCCTTCCTTCGAGATACTGACAGACTCAATGAATTCAAGATAGCTCTCAACAACAGGTTCCAAGCCTTACAGGATCTACTGAAGGAAGAAGAAACGACTATGGAGGACAACTGGAAAGGTATCAAAGAAGCATTAACTTCAACGTGTCAAGAGGTTCTCGGTCTAAAGAAATACCATCATAAGGAATGGATCTCTACAGAAACAGTGGACAAGATCAAAGAAAGGAAGAACAAGAAGGCAGCAATAAACAACAGCCGAACACGAGCAGAGAAAGTCAAGGCACAAACTGAGTACATAGAAGCAGACAAGCAAGTGAAGAAGAGCATTAAAGCCGACAAGAAGAAATACGTGGAAGAACTAGCAATGACGGCGGAAAAAGCTGCAAGAGAAGAAAATATGAAACAGCTGTATGATACAACGAAGAAACTAGCAGGGAGATATAGTGAACCAGAGAGACCGGTGAAAGACAAAGAAGGCAGGCCAATCACTGAGATTTAAGAACAGATGTACAGATGGTGGAACACTGGAGGAACTCTTGAATGGGCCAGCCCCATTAAATCCACTGGACATCGAAGCAGCACAGACAGAAATCCAGAGTGCCATAAGACAAATCAAGAACGAGAAAGCACCTGGATTTCACAATATACCAGATGAAGCCTTGAAGTCAAACACAGAAGCAACTGCAAACATGCTCCGCTTTCTATTCAGGAAGATTTGGGAGGAAGAACACGTGCCGATGGACTGGAAAGAAGGACAGCTCATCAAGATTCTAAAGAAAGGATATCTGAGTGAATGTGGAAACTACAGAGGTATCACACTACTGTCAGTACCAGGAAACGTTTTCAACAGTGTTGCTGAACCAGATGAAAGATTCAGTAGACACCCAACATCGAGATCACCAGGCTGGATTCTGTAAGGATCAGTCGTGCACAGACCAAATCGCAACGTTACGGATCATTGTTGAATAATCAGTTGTGTGGAACTCGTTACTATACCTCAACTCGATTGAATATGAGAAGGCGTCTGACATTGTGGATAGAACAATATGGAAACTTCTTCGACACTATAGAGTACCTGAGAAAATCGCCAACATAATCCGGAACCCATACGACGGACTGATCCTGGTCCTACGTTGTAGCTGACTGACTGACTGACTGACGAAGGACTACAATGCTGACAGGTGCATTCTAAATAAGTATCAGAGTCAAACACGGTTGCTTAATCCCCCCTTCTGTTGGACCTCGACATCTGAGGGAATGCACTGAATACAATAGACAGCTCAGAATCAATTAGAAGATTCGGACTTCGCAGATGACCTGGTCATTCTATCCCATATACACGGAAAAATACAACTCAAGACAACTAGTGTGGCAAAAGCCTCTGCATCAGTAGACCTCAACATACACAAAGGAAAAGCAAGATCCTCAAATACAGCACAGAAAAAATCAACCCAATCACACTTGAACGAGAATCTCTGTAAGATGTGGAGACTCTGATGTACCTGAACAGCATCATCGATGAACAAGGAGGATCTGATGCAGACGTAAAGAAGAGGGTCGACAAAGCTAGGACAACATTCCCACAACTGAAAAACATATGGGACTCAAAACAACTGTCAACCAGTATCAACCACAGAATCTTCAATGCGAACGTCAAAACAGTTCTACTGTACGGAGCTAAAACTTCGAGAACTACTACAACCATCATCAAAAGTACAGGTATTTATAAACAACTGTCTACGAAAGATACTCAATGTCCGTTGGTCGGATACTATCAGCAACAGGCTGTGGGAGAGGAGAAATCAACTTCCAGTTGGAGAGGAAATTAGGAAAACATTTCGCGTTTTCAATGAATAAAATGTTTGTTTTAACGGATTTCTTAATATTTACTATAGATAAATTTTCTGCATGATGACCAGACCCAATTAATGATTAATGTAAAAATAAAATTCTATGTATAGTTTAATATTAAACTGTTTATTTGATTAGAAATAAATGCTTGGCATAGACAAGATTCGAAGAAGTGTTATTTAACAAGGAAGTACACAGTATTCATTTCACTTAATCTAAATAATCATAGTGTTTAAATGAGGGATGATGCTTATTAAAATATATCTGAAAAACATGTGACAAAATTTTATAAAAACTAGTTACATTTTTAAAAGGTTGAATTAGACAAACAAATGGTGATAATTTAGAATTATTAAGCGAAATTGAGACAATAGATAATGATTATTATATGTAAATAAGCTTTTGTGTAAGATAATTCATAAAAAACATACTTCTTATATTCACCCTAATCCTAAACTCATACTTCGGAATTCCCAGTTGTTTTTCAGGCCCTCATGAAGAAATATTTGTTTACAATGTGGGTAACTGGAAAGTGGTAACCACTTTCCGTTATATACACATCAACTACAGCACTCAATATAGTTACGCTTATTATTTGGTTTAGGATTGGTTAGTGTATTGTTAGTACAAATAAAATCTTGAGATAGAAATCAAGCAAAAGGTAAACAATATCTCATAAATATAATAGCATAAGAACCATGACCTTTGACACATTTTGAAGTTAGTTAGTTGGACGTAATCGGCACGTAATAAGCAGATTTTAAGGGAATATTGCTCCTGCATTATGAAGCCTGATAGTTGTTTCATATTTTAATAAAGGTAATGTAATGTACAACTTACGTAAGGCCGAAATCGGTTAAGCTAAGCACATCCCATACTATATACTTCATATAATAAATAAAGTGCTAAAAAAATGTATAGTACTGATTTAGAAAAGTACCCATCACTATTCCATAATCGATGAACACTTCCAAAAAAACTGTTGAATACGTCAGGGTTTAATAACACTAACAAAACGACAAAATACAATATTAGAAAAGTAATGCAATATACACCGCGGAAACTAACCACAGTAGGATCTTCATAAATCATAATTACAATTTGAGCGAGATAATTAATTTCAGAAATAGACGACACATACTCCATAGCACGTCTCCATTGTTCATCTGTTACAATGTCTGCTAATTCACCATATCTTAGACAAGTAAGTAATGAATGAATATGACTTTCACTAGTGAAATACAAGCGACTACGAACAAATCGTTCAGGTGAAGCAACTCCTTTTGAATAACTGGAAAAAAGTATTGTACAACACATAACACGAAAAAGTGAATTAGACGGCAGCATAAAATAGTCTTTTTATTTTACAAAGAAATAGTTACAATAAATGAATATTCTTTTTGGGAAAAAATGTTTGATATTGTTAGAAAACAATTGAGAAAAAAAACTTGACAACCATGTGTAAACTCATGTTCTAGTCTCTTTTTTTTAGTTTACTCAATAAGAACAGCTTGTATCAATTAGATCGTAGAATGATTTAAAATACAAAAAGAGCTTAAACTTGCTACTGAATAGTTTGAAATCTAGTGTTTTATATCTGCTAAATCAAACCGTTAATTCATACAACAGATTTTGGCTTACATAGCCTATGTCTAAGTATATATAATACATCTAGTAATATTTTTATAATTAGTCCCAGTAATCTATAAGAATTGTAAAAAAATTACACAGAAATGACAAAAATATAACTATTGAGTAAATTATTAACCCAAGAATCTAAGATATTTGTAATGATATAAAACAGTTAGAAGATTACAGTGTACAATCTCACGCATACTGAATAAGAATTCACTGTTTTTCTTTAACTTATACCTAAATAACAAGATATAAACCATTCCATTGCATTTTATGTAAGTGAATAATTATGAATGAAACATCAAAAATAGACTATGGGCAAAATTAGAGAAATTATTAATAGATATAAACAATTTTTTTCAACCGAGTTCAATAATAATACAATATATTCTTGAAAAAAACAAATCAATCAATTTTCATTATAAGGAGAAAAAATTAACACATAGAATTCCGTGTTAGTGGCCCTAAATCTGACTCCAGTTTGGTCGTATGAATGATATTGAAATATATATGTCCCCTGTCTTCGTATATAGTTATCGACTTAGGTCGCGTTAGTGAATAACGGAAATAAATAAGTCAAATACGAGAACGGATTTCCCAAAACATATATTTTGTACAGTCGTTGGTCGGAACAGATAACAGAGAGACGTAGAGAAGAAGAGTGAAACGAAATGACGCGAAGTGGAGATGGCTCGTTAGCCAACTCCCTTTAACCAAGCGTCAATTAATATTTACAATCACACAAATAGGAAGGGTACACACATGCTCTCAGATAAACAGTCAAGATTGATAAGAGAATAATTAACAAGGTCAAAATGTGACTCAAGTAGAATGAATAGACTGTTCTGTCCGAAAGCTAGAATAAGGTATATGGGCTTAATATAATAACCGATACGACACCGTCAACTCTTGTTTAAATAGATTCGTAAGTACAGGGAGACGTAACTTACTTATATAAATATACAATATAATCTGAGAAATCACTCACGTCCAATTAAGATTAATATTTTATTTTTAGGAGTACATAACATAAATGAATATAAAATCTTTTCGATGATATTAACTTATATAAGTTTTTTTAAAGTAGTTATTAAGTCAACTGAGGTTTGCCTTTAACAAGTCAAAATATGATCAGGGCAACTACGAACATATTCTTAGGAAATACACAGAATTAATCAGCGTGCTGGTGATAAAAAAAACCTTCAGAATAAAGAGATAAAATTGATCAGCTGAATGTTAATCTGACAACTACTTAGTCCTACTGAATCCTTTAAAGAGATTGGAGAACAATTATGGTATATCATGAACCGACTAAATTTGCAGTATATCATTCAGTGAATTCACAAACAATAAATAAACAATAATTTTATATTAGGATTTAGACTACTGATGAGTTATGGAATAAAATGAAAAAGCAGTTAAATACACGATTTTTTCAGCAATTTTCCAAACCACACTAACAAATAGCGTAAATTGCACTTACATTGCATTAGATTCGATTTAAACGAATCTTATTTTCATGAATTACATTCACTCACGCAACAAACCAACCAATCAGAATATCGATTTCTATAAATTTGTCCCTGAGCTAACCAATGACACGCTAACTGGCACTAGTAGCCTAGTCACCGTTAAGTCTTTATTGATACCCGATTGAACAGCTTCTATTTCTGCCTGCCCGTTGAGTCTAGAAAATAGTAATCAGCCTACACTATGAGAATGTTATATCTCAGGTATACATAGTTTGTACGCAGACACATCTGCCCACATCATAACATAAATTAAAAACGACAATTAAACATGATCAAGCCCAAAAAGGGCTATGAGTAGAGCAGGCTGAATAGAAAAATGGCAACAGAATAAGAATAGTAAACCATACAACAGTAGTTAATAGATTAGTCAAAAGTTCACGATAAAAGGTATATATATATATATATATATATATATATATATATATATATATATATATATAGCCCATAAATTACTCCCGAAAGTTACCATTCCTTTAATCTTCGTCAGTTATAACAATTCTAAATACCAATTTATCCAAAATCATTAAGGGAATCAGTTCTTTATGGTTATCTTGAATACTTTATTACCAACAGACAAGTCGATGTTTTTTTACCTAAACTTCACTTGTGCAAAATATATTGCAATTACAATAACAATTCGTTCATCTTATGTTAATTCATAGTTCAAATTAATTAAATAAGTTGAAAATAAAATTCACATTATTAGGATCACTTGAAAATTATTAGCTTGAAGTTTAACATGATTGACTAAACTAAAAGTAATAGCGACGTAATTTGAATTATTTTTTGTGTTATATTTACAGTGCAGTTTTTAAAATAAAGTATTCATGATACAAAGGAGTGAGACTACAGTCTTCTAATTCCAAATGATCGACTGAACGATCAACAAACAATGTAACATTAATCATTAATTCAAACAACTACACTATGTTAAAGAAAAGGACAACAAAAAACTTTAAAGAATTATGAATAAGGAAGAAGCTAAATAATAATCATCGAAGCGATCGTTTGTTTTTAAGGGACAAAAATGGAATATACATTTTAATCTATTAGTCAACTGGTTAACTTATATTTAGTATGATATATATTTCTAAACTATTGACAGTCTAAAGAATTAAGTAGATTAAGACAGCCACTGCAAAACCGATGTTATTTGTATATCTTGACTATTTATTGATCTCTTTGATATACTATCAGTAAACTGTATGAGATATAAAAGTAGTTGGATATTTGATAAATAGGACATTATTATTTGAATATATTATGGGTAGCACTTTTTATATATTTACATTCAACTAGATCGTGGCAATCAGGTTAGAATATAGAGACAATAAACAGACAACTTCAATCAATGAACTGGAAAGCACAAATTGAACCAAATCTAAACATATTGATGTATTTATTTAGCAATTTTACTACTTACTAGTTATCAATTTTTATCATACGATAAATAAATTTAAACAGATTGTTTAAGCTAGATGTACTTAAGGAGTCATAACTGCTACCTTATAAAGAATTAAAACTGAAGAAAACTAATTCGTAACCTATAAAAAATGAATATTATAATTTTTATTCACTATATGATAAAGTTAATAATTTTGCAAACATGGCTTATATGAAATAATTGAAGTACAATCTCGACCAAACATGCAGCTAAAAGTAACACTCATTATACTTATCAATAAAGCTCATAGTGGAAGTGTCATCGATATAGTATTGTGAAGCTTGTTTCAATAAAAAATTGGAACCAAAAACGATGAAACAATTAAGATTCCCACACATATGCATGCGTATGTATACAACGGATAAGAAACAACAATACATACACATATACCTAAATATGTGTTTGTGCAGTAAATAAATACAAAATATTTCGTTTAATTGGTGCACATATAAAAACACAGTTGAATAATTAGGCTAACTCGATTAAGTTAAGTAATGCCTCGATAGGCCATTGTTAATCAAATAAAAAGAAAAGTGGCAAAAACTAAAACATGCTATTATAAACACGACAAGGTCGAAACAAAAATCTTTTAAAAGTTATGAAGAGATTATATAATCAGACCCACCAATCGGGACAAGGTTCACCGTGATTTGGGCGATGGCTAGAAATAGATAGGTGAAGTAAAGCAAAAAAAAGGGGTGATATGATGCATGAGAATTTAAAAAAAAGTGGAAGTGAGTGACCATGCATACATTTCGTTATGATAACTGATGTTACGGCAATGAAGTCCTAGTGCTAATCAAAGTCTGTTTGTAAAAAACCTATGAAATTGATCAACTAATTTGTAGCACAGGAGTGGTCAGAGTGTGTTGGATTTGCATTTCCAAATCATAACTGGATTCAGCTAAACAACCATTGAAGACAAAGAGCCATTAGTCAGCTCTTCTTAAAATGGGAGTCGTCAGGAGTGTGCACCCTCAACTCCACCAATCGTCTATGCCTAAAACCGGTTATTGGCAACTTAAAGAGTTACTATTGATGAACACTAATATATCTGAAAAGATGGAGCAGAAATCTGAAAATTCCAGTGGTAAATTTGTTCATAGTGATCCCAATAACACAAGCTTTATCGTGGTAGTTATCATAAGTCGTCCTAGGGTTTGTGATGAACATCTGTTAGTGACTTTAACCAGTCCACAGGGTACAGTATTGATCAAACCCAATAATAGAATGCCGAGACCCACCAGAAGTTAAATACAACGATAGCATACAAATCGCTGCTTTCAGTCAAAAACGATATACATGGATAAGCATTAGTACATAAAATGCTCTAATAATCAAAAGAGTTTTAGATTCATGGGAATAAAGGAAACGTCATGTTTATCCTGTCATACCCGTCTTACAATGTGTTGAACCATCATTAAAGATAATAAACAACCAGTCCAGTTAAAATATGGGTAACTAATATGATGGGAAAGTGTAATATTTATGGTTTTTAGTCAGTTAGAATTCCAAGAAATATTAAATAGGAAGTTAAGCAAATGACACTTATTTGTTAAGTCAGTTTTTAATAACCGAACATTCATACTTTACCGTCTAGTGCAAATATATCACTCGAGAATTAAATGGAGCTGTGATATGTGGTGAAATCATTTACTTTTGGGTAGCATGTTTGAGCTTCCATTAAACCGCAAAGCTTTGGAGAGCCTGGGATTATAGCCCTTCCTTACATGTAAATTGTGACCCAAAACCGGTAGCCTAAACTGCTGTAGCTTGGTAAATGAATTCGGACTAGTTTCACTCAAAACTTATGAATTCGGAGCACGAAAATAACAGAAAAAAAGTATGAAATGAGCCTGAATATCAAGACAGCCGATGTAAGCAGGTTTCTTCATGACTAGAATCCTCATAATTGAATTTGTAAACTATAGTAACTGTTGAAAAACTAGATATCGATCCATAAAACCACCTAGATCAAATCATGTGTAAGATGTATATCGACAACTCCACAGTCAACTAGCAATATGATTAGTTTTAAAGGTATGGTTAAACAAGATGAGGTAGTATAGAAATATAACAACTTATGGAAAGCGAAATTAAACACCACATAGTAAAGCCTAAAATAATAATACTAGAAAAATATCCTATTGAGGTTAAAATTTTCAATTCTCAGATAAGAAGGGTATTCTACTTGGAAACAACATTGCACATAAAAACATGATTGCTTGAAATCAAACAGTAAAGGTCTCGGGGATATAGAGTCTGCATAGAAACCATTAACAAGAGCTCTTATTTAATAGTTCACTCTCGCTAAACCAAATTAAAACATCATGTCTACCTGGAACCAAAGTGTATAAAATACCAATGGAGATACTATTAACAATTATATAAGACAAAAGCTAATAAATTAAATAGTTTATAAAAAGCCATATCACACCATATGAATAAAAAACTATGCTAACTTATCAATAAGTGATTGATATTTAAAAAAGTTGAAATAACTTCAGTAAACAAGCTGATTTGTGAAGTTTTAGTGATATCAAAGACGACAGAAGACGCGATACATCTGCAATTATTTATTAGTGGCACCATCAACAGCAAACATAGGGTGAAATAATTAAACAGAATGGCATTACTGAAAGGTGCATGTTGAGTACGCTGTTACAGATAATAAGATAGTTAAAACAAACGATATACAACACGCAAATTATTTATAAAAATGACTCAATTAATTACAGACAAGCCCTTAAACATCGAACAACAATGGTTTCAACAGCATAAGATCACATACACTCTTGTGAAAAACACTAAGTTCCTTAGGAAAAATAAAATTTCGACAACTTAATGGTTACATTTATTTATTGTCAAGGTACACTGCTTCATATTTACTAAGATAAAAAATAACTGAAATAGTGTATACAAATAGTACTCTGTAACTGAGATAGCAGAATTTAGTAATGAGAGAGAAAAGGTTTATAATAACCAAACAAATAACAAAAACTATCGGAACGTAAAATTGTTTAGGTATGCAATCTGTCCGAAAATAGCAAAGGACAATAAAAATAATCACAATACATATATACAAACAAATTAATGATATCTTACAATAGTATACGGTAGAGTAGAGGAATCGGTAAAAGCACGAAAATGATTTATTTCCAATGCCATCAAATGTATCAGTAAGCATGTTTATATTTTCTGAAATATGACATTTAGTACTCTGGTCATTAACTAAGCTGGATGATGAGGAATAAAACCGAAAATAGGTAGTTTGCAAATCGAGACTTGGAAATATAACATTTAAGCTGCTTAATGAAGAAAGGTAATATTAAGAGCGGTTGACTTTTGCCTAGGCTCAGATCATAAATGAATAACATGTTATTTCCAAACAAATAATCTACAGAATACTGTATTGACAGTTGTCAATAGAGAAGATAAACATTAAACAGATTGTTATGCAAAAGTTATAATGTAAATGTTCAATTAAACAGGAGAATTTTTTAAAGGTAGAATTGTATGATAATCAGTTTCTAATTCAACCGTCATTGATCTTTATCTTACATCACATTTACCTAAATAAAAAATTGTTTTCAACTGGCCTAGGACTTAATTACATTTTTGATCTAAAAGTCTCCGAAAATAAATCTACTAAAGTATCGAAATTACGGAGATTACTAAGTTTCATCTAGCGAAATTTCTATGGGAAAAATTCTAGACTTTCTGGACAAGACCTGTGTAAGGTTTATCCTTGAATACCGGTTTTTCTATTTTCATCAACTCATGTCTATCTGATAAACTAACAGTAGAAGGAGTTCTATGATATTTCACTTGGAAAGTACCTAAAACTGACACAGTAACTGACTGTATATCGAGGTGTGATATCCTAAAACTCAAACTCCTATGGTTTACGACAAAAATAATTCTGTCTCATAAACTGAATCGAAAACTAACAGCTCTTGTTTAAACACACCTGAGCATGACTCGGGAAATAAAATATCTACAACTGAAATGGAAAAATACAGGACGGGGACTTTTCTTGATTAAGTACGTTCAGACATAAAATAGTCTACCTTTGTTCAGTTGCTTAATCGCAATCTTAATGCGCTAAAACTCTTAATATATGTAACTACCTCATCATCATGCGTGAGCATAGTCACCTCCCTAAATTTCCAAAAGAACATACAGCATTTTACTAGCTAAATATCACACTACAGTAACAAAAGTAATGACGAGAGCTTTTGCATATGTATACACCTTAAAATAATCACGAATAATATCTCCTTTGCCCGTGTTTCTCGATTTTTCTATTTCCTTTACAGCAATGCGCTGGATCAATATGTTGTATTTAAACCACATTAGTTCCACAATTCCAAGCGTACTTATGTAGCAGAAGCAAAACGACAGTTCAATACACACGAATTATCTAGTATATGTAAGATTTTCTTAAACGGCTAAACAAAAATGGAAAGCTTACATAATCGTCACTCATCATATCCCTTGATTATGAAAGGCTCACATCGCTCACCTACAAAACTTTTTCAGATAACTCAAGTAAACAAATAGTTGATTTCAACTCTTTATTGTTAGAGATTTATTGATTGAAAATATAGCACTGGCTAAAATATATTCTTATAAAGAACCACAGAAAAGAGATAGATAAACATATCAAAGCTTTATTATATCAGCACAACCATTCCTGCAAAATGTCATGAAATCTTTAAAGTATTATTATTATCACTATTAGTAATATCTTTTTGATGGGAATGGTCTTTATGCTTATGTGCAATGTGACAGGAAGTTTTTAAACAAGCAACCCTCACTCTGGTTTGGGTATTTAAATGAAACCCGAAAATCTATCAACCCAGTAATTATCAATTGAAGAGACTGAAGTTACAAAATAACAATAATAATAATAATAACAATGTCTTGCGTAATAAAAATTAAAAGAGCATACCGAGTTTTCAAACTAAACTATTTGGGATTTTTGAGTACATGCACCATTCTGATGTGCCCATAGTACCAGCAATATATACCCGATAAATATCGTATTTTTAACAGGCAGTTTAGTGTGCACCATGAATGTAATCAAAATACTTTTGAACTATATCTTAGAATGATAAATAATAATAAATAAGTAAGTTCATTAGCAAAACAAAACGTTTTCTACAATCACACAGTTTTCACAGACCATACAACTCTAATTATAATGAACAGAAACTAAACAAAACTGATATAACCAAGAAAGAGATTTACAGAAGTTCACTCCAATAAAATGAGTGATTTAGAGGAGGAAAGAAATTAGAAAATAGTGATATCTTACTACACTTATTTAAAGGACATTCAATTTTTCGTGTTAGCATATCTAAACCGTTGATTCAACTTTCTTTTACATATACATGTCTCTGGGTGTATTCATTAGTTAATAAAATGGGCATTAAAGATCATTTCTTACAGAACTTATTTTCTTAAAAAACATTTTGGACTATTAAGTTTAAAAGGAAGTAAACACTTATCGGAACATTAACAACTGTTTTTGAATCACATTTATTTTGAGTCACTCATTTAATTTCTCGTCCAGGCTTAAGTTATGTAGATTTAAAATAGGATTCAACTAGCCTTAATTAATCCCAATTTTATGTTAGTAACTTTGCACAGTGTCTAAGATAATAAAATAAAAATGCCCCATAATGTATTTGTTAAGTATATCAGTGTTACATCAAATTAAAGGATAAAACACTTGATAATTTGACATTATAATTTCAAATAATTTTAGCATTGGGTATATTGTTAATAACAAAGACCATAGGTAAAAATATAGATTTCAAAATGTTTTTTCCAAATGCAAAGAAAGTCGTAGCTGGATTTTTGCATGCAATGTCAAACCCTCCTGCGCTCCATAGTCAGGAAGGCCTGAAGATTTATTCAAAATAAACCATTTATTCAAATATCCAAATAATCATTTTTATTCATATCTCGTATCAGGAGCAAATGGTCTTTACTCTTTTACATTAGAAATATATTTTTCACATACACTAACCTACAAATAAGTAGGTCTCATACAGAATCACTTTGTTCGAAATAACGTGATATTAACATGATCAGATCTATTTTGATTATACTAAAACTTGTGTGTTTTATATTCTTTGTATCACCGAAACTTTTGTTAATTAATTTCATTTACTTCTTTAAAAAAGGGACACGCACGAAGTTACGAAATGTCAGCAATTCAATTCTCCACTCATTAGAGTTTTTATAAATACGTTATTCTTAATACAACTATTATTAGTTTCTAACTAGTAAATCTATTGTTAAAGTGGAAGAGAATCAAAAACTGTTTATCATTGACATTTTGCATCAGTGCGTCATAGCTTCACATAATTATATAGGACACTCATAAAGTCTATCATTATTTATAGAAGTAAGAATAAGGTCAAGCCTTAAAATCATCATCTCATTCAAATTATATTAAAGATATAAAAATGTTTAAATATGATATTATTAAGACGTTACAACGTTACTAAATGCACCAAAAAACCAATAGCTAATGAAGAATAATACTCACCCAGCATGCAGCCGTGTACACTCATCTACATCTGTATAACGAGCATCTGATAAAATTTTCCGCATAAGTGGAGTACAAATACGTTGACCTATCACTAGTTTTTCTTCTTTTGTTATACCATATTCCTAAGGATAAGGAGAGGAGAAAGTATAAACATTTTTTCTGGTATGTGACAAACGGTAGAAGACAAACACAAAAATGGCATTGAATAAGGTAACATCAAGAGTACTTATCACAGCAATCTTATCAGAATGACTATGTAATTAAGACAATAACAGTGATAGTCAAGAATTTCAAATTTCAAAGAATTGGTATGAAGTCCGCTTTTGTACGAAACACGATAAATTATTTCTAACAACGAAAATAAACCTTTGTCATTTATTCTATTGAGACATCTAAACCTTGATTGTGGACGAACACATTGTGCAACAGTCCACTTTATGATACTCAAAAATTATGGGAATAATTCATTGATGGTAGACTATATAAGAATAACTGTAACTGAATATAAGTCTAAAACAATTAGTCCCTTTGATAAATTTCGATAAACTACGTCTTCTCATTGCATTATCGAAATTGAATATAAGTCATCAGAGCATATCATATGTGTGATCAAATTGACGAGTGAACAATATTTCCTTATCTGCTCATGGTCTTTTTAATTTACAGTTTATCAAAAGTTCTCTTTATTGCTAACAGTATTTTTTGCCTTATCAAGAACTGGAACAACCTAAGCAAATGCGCTTATTCTTGATGCTCTATATTATAAGGCTTTTCTGTTTAGACAAAGTGACATATTATAGCCTATGGTTCATTTAGAGATTACATTTCTAGAAAAACAAAAAAGGGAATGAAATCAATATGAAACACTGATGTTTCCGCATGGTTCAACTAATAATAGTCAAAAAAGATAATATTAAAACTGTTTAATGCAAATGATTATGGTTATTGACAAATTTCATCAATCTCAGCAATGAATGAGCACTTAGAGATGCGTTGTTTGTACTTGCTTTATCCTTTATAAGAAGATTTGAAGAAATTGCTATCAAAGTGAGAATTGTTGTTTGGTGCAGTAAAAAGCATTAGCTTTATTCTGTTCGCAGTCTCACACCTAGGGATTAAGTGACAACGGTTTTTGACTGAGAATGATATCCCAAACCAATTATATTTACAAATTCGAATGTCAACTAAACGATACATTTTATTAAAATATTACGAAAAATATCTTTTTCCCAACAAGCATCGGTAGATGAGAGTTTTAATATTTTATCAAACATAAGTTAGTACAGTTATTCAGCAGAACGTAAAATTCATGGAAGGAGAAACACCAATGGATCAACAGTAAATACATAACTGCAGTTCTTGATTTATTTTACTGAGGTCCTACTAAATACGATTTCTTTTTGATCTTACGTTTATTTACTAAATTTCTTCTTTCATATATACAAAATTAAATACAAGTCTGTAAAAGCTGGGAGGAAATTTAAAGTAATTTGTAATCAAACTATCGCCGCTACATAATATAAACTTTAACTTAAATTACATCACTAGTTTTATCAGTATAATCGCTATAAGCATGTCAAATTACCTGTGGGACAATAATGTCAGCTAGCGACTTTGCACACATGAAAAAATCTTGCACCTCAGATTCTAGTAAAATGCCAGAATTATGTTGCAAGTCATATTTTATGTTGTCATATATATCTGAAATTTTAGAAAGATCGTATTCTCCTTCAGGAGATCGAAAATCTTTTAATAGCTTTCCCCAACGTCTGAGCAATAGGTCCCAACTTTCACCTTGATACAAGTGTATTCGACTGCGTTCTTTGGAACTTCGTGAGAGCCAAGCAAGACGATTAGATAACAGACGAACATGTTCAAACAGGCGACCACATGCTCTATACGGGCTTTTAACATACTGCATAGCATTAATTATAGAACGTGCGCCGGTAGGAACAAGAGTAGCAATATCTTCAGCGGTGAAATCACTGTTTTTTGACATAACTTCATTGATTCGACGTTTAACCATCTGCTGATAGTGACGACAATCGTTATCATTATCTAAAAGACCGTTCGTATTAGCTGACTTGACCATCTGAACAAGGATTGGTGGTAATTCTCCTTCTAGTGCCAAGAAACCTTTGGCAAAAGCTGCAGCTGTCATTTGGACACGACCCTCGTCAGAAGCATATATCTTCAAATCATGACGATAAGTACTGTGTAAACGTAATAATCCAAGACCAGGATCTTTACCATAGTGGCCATCTCCACCTGGGTAAATGCAACGAAAAGCTTTTCCTAGAGTTTCTGCTTGTTGCTTGCCTGCGGCTGTTAATTCTCCACCCCATTTCACGACAACTAATAGGCAAGGTTGGGTGTTGTCACATTCGTCAGTACAGTCACAAGATATTGGAATACTACCTGAAAAAAGGACCATTCAAAATCCAATGATTTTGGAAATTTGTTTTACTTCTGACAAATGATCAATATATGTGGTTGTTCATTTGCATGGCAATGAAAATGATTTCATGTACTACATAATGGTCACCACGATATGATCACGTTTCTCAACAGTAAGCATAGTTACTTTTCCCAATAACCCACTTTTAACAGACACGGTAGATATGAGTACTTTGACTCACATTCACGGTTCTATTGAAATACTGTCGTAAACTAATTACATCAGTAATGGACTTCTTTTAAACCAAATATATGTGAACTCCAATCCACCAAAACCATTTCTGTACAATGACATAACCCTAACTATATTACTCACTGAAAAGTGAACACAGAAATTTATAGAAAACCAAAAAAGGTCACTTTAGTATACTCATTGTATTGCGCAGAAGAAAAGTTTAGTCATTTGTATCGATCTCTAGACCTTATGCCTACATTAGTTAATTAGTTAAATAGATAAGAAAAGAAACGATGTATGAATAAGACGAAAATAGTAATTCTAAATTCAAAAGATTTTAAATACCAGGCAAAAAATTAAATCCAAATTATGGTTACTAACCGTTCAAGCGGGTCGTGTTATCGCATCACGAAAGTAATACCTATAGTCTCGATCAACAGTTCTAAAAGTATTTTATTACATTAGTGTTAACTTTGACGATCGTCGTTTTCCACCTATATGTGTCTGAAGAAAATGTAACCTGGCCGAGATAATTTGGTAGAAAAGGGTGTTTTTCAAGCATTGGTTGCTAATCGTGGAACGACTAGGTGCGAAACCTTGAGGTTAGGCAAACCAGTTTATGAGGTTGCGGATATCCAACTGAAGTGGTTGGGATATATGTAGCTCAGCTGATACAATGCCCAAACATTAGGCATAACAGTCAGGTATATATTGATTAAAGAATAAGTGACCAATAGGCTTATTTCGTCCAACCACCTATGACATTTTGCCATGTTTGTTTTGTGTTCATATTCAGTATGTAAGTCGTTTTATTGCATGAGAAACTATTCATTTGGTTATTGGTCTTGCATTGGATTTCCGATCATTTGGTGGGTTAATTCAATACTACGGTCTCGAAAGTAACCATCACTAGGTCACATTATATCATTATGTTCATCAATCGATTAGCATTCCGTCTACTGGTTTTAACAATCCAGAATTTCATCTCATTAAATCACGGAAAACCATCTAAATTAAACCAAACATCGCTTTCCTCGACGCACAAGATTTCCCCGAGTAGGAATAAACTGGAAAAACTAGAATTGGATAAAGCAAGACAAAGCCTTTGGGATTATCATGATTGATGATTAAAGATACTGGAAAACACTTGCTCGGAATTGGTCACAATGGTGGGGATGCATCCGTTCTTCAAATTTTGAGATGGAAAATTAATTATTATGTTTTACTCCGTGAATCAAATTCTTCTTTCCGGACCACCTTATTTATAGTCAGTCAATTCTACTATAATTGATTTTACTACTTTCAGTATTTTGGTATTCATCTCGATAATTTCATCTCGCTGTCCTAGTGTGACATCTTAATTTGGATATGTTCTATGTTGATTTCGACTGACTGTCTAACCAAAATTGATACTTTAGATCGCTAACAGGTTTAAGACTATCACATGCAAAAAGCATGAACACTTCATAAATAAAAAATTTTGGTAAAGTTTCATTTGCAATAGAAAGAAAAAAATGAGAATAGAGTGCTGAATATCATGAATAACAGTTTTTTGTGAAATATTTTGAACAGAGCTGCTTAGTTTCGTTGAACGCGGATACCGATATTTTTTAAAAGTTGAATAGTAGCTAGTAACGCAATCAAGAATGCACGTTACGTCATACTTTTGACTCACTAGCTGGATGTACTTAAATCCTAAAGTTGAAGCTGACTATCAAACCTTACTAAAAAAATTGTGACTATGTAGCAATATTGAGATGTACTAGTTTCGCCAGATTTAGAGATATTAACGGTTGCTGAAACTAGTACGTGTTACGCAAGCTTTAAATGCATACAAAAAAGCTGAAACTTGGATGTTTTAACTCAATAAACACTAATACGGACTGATTTGAAAATATGCAATGCATAAACACGATTGCGAAACAAAGTTCACATTTTAATGAAGCGGTATGCAACCAACACAAAAGCTCACTTGAATAACCAATCTTTGATTCTTTACCAATTCCATGTGGTTGATATTTTAACTGAATTTTACGGTTAATTCCACTAAATGACCCATACATTTCTAAGACATATCTAGTAATAGAGTAAAGGAAAATATGAAATCAAAAATCATTTAATACTTATAATAAGCGAGAAGTAGTGACTAAAATTTAGTGATAAATTAAACTATCTACTTTTCACTAATCAAGTGAGAATCCTTTTTATAGGCAATAGTAACCATTACATACAATCACTTCCACAAGATCTAGAAATATGCTGTTCGTCTAAAAATTTCATAACATGATTCTCTTTCGTTTTATGAAGAACAATTAAATTGTGACTTAAATATATTTAACCACCGAACACAATTATTTCCTGGACCAAAACCAAGAGTTAGTAAATTCATGGGTTTGGTCATTCTGAAGACTATTCAACTCAAGCACTCCAGTCAATAAATAGTTACAACCATGTTGACTTATTTATTATCCCTAGCCAGTACTTTTAGCTTGAAATCATATAACTGTAGTTTGATCATATCTTTATAGCGTTCCGAAAAAATCTTTAAATTCTTGAGACCTGTCTATCCCTATCATCATACACAGCAACTTTCTATATTCGTGTAGTGAAATGGAATAAATGGTTTAACAAACAGCTTGATATTTATTGGGAATTTCAAAGTTTACCGATCTACAGGTGAAGTAATTTATTAAAAGCTGGGCAAGCTTGATGTATACACATTACGATTTTCTCGATCATCAGTCAATGTAGCCTAATACGACTGATTATGAAAGAATGATCGGGATACTAAACCAGTTTAATAAGTGTTTAAGATATTAATTAAAACAAACTGATCCTAAAGAGACAATGGATTTCGGTAAGTGATAAAAATAGTATTATTAAAATCTTGTTGTGAGAGTCGATACATTCCCGTTGTTTATATTATTAACAGTAATTCATAATTTGGGAACTATATGGACTCACCAGTTTAATCAGTAACTCGTCGGCATAGGTACTAGACTCGAGCTTCAGTGTCAACATCACGAATGGAGGTACATACAGTCTATGAGTTCCAAATAAGACAAAACATGCGTCGTAGTTTCCACCACAAAAGACAATCCGAAAACACTTATATTTTTAAAATATTGTATCCTATGCTAAATTTATACAAGGTTTTGACATAAATTATTGTACCCTAAAATATGTAAAAATATTCATACTTGTACTATGACATACTATGTCGTAGGACAGTAATATTTTGGGGAACATTTGTCGACAAAAGTAATGTACTTCTTTCAGAAAATATGAACTCACTTTAGTTGCTCAAATTTTGGCTTTATTCGAAGAAGACAATTATCAGTACACTGGCCAGAATCAATTTCTTCCAAAATGGATCGCACAATATCTAAAATTTCCTGCAACTGGGTAGGACGTTTGATTTTTAATTCACGAGCCCAACCACCTGCATACTTAGTGAAAAATGAGAAAAATTTCTGATGGCAAACTTCCATTTTCATTTTCTGTTTTGGCGTCCTGTCACCGTGACGAATGACAGCGATTACACAACGAAGTTCCATAATTGCTCCACAAGTTGTTGGTACCAGCGGAGTATCTACATCCGTACCTGGAGGCAAGTTGGTCGGCAAACACAATCGTGGTGCTATTTTTCGAGTAATTAACACACCAAGAATGTGACTACAGTCATCATAGTACTTTTTGGATGACTTTACAAAAGAAAATCCATTTACGTCACAAACATAAGACATTCCATTAGCCCGAAGAAGATCGAATCCACAGATTTGCTGCCGAACAGCTTTTGCTACTTTCTTGGCAATGATTTTCTCTCTAGGTGTTAGTATGACAGGATAGCGAACTTCTTTACCTTCGTGATCTCGTTCTACTTTCCCATCTAAGGCAGGAGATTTTCGAGCCTCTGCATGAGCATAATCATCTGCGACCGTGTAAACCTAAGTGGGTTATAATAAAAAAGTTATCAGGGAGTTAACTGTTAGCGGGACATAGACTAGATTAAAGCATGCTCAATGCATGATTGCTTTGGTGCACGCTGATTGTCTGATTCTTAACCAATCAGCACTAGTCGACAGTCGGAGAATACTCTGGAATCTTCTTATGTAAAAACCATAAATATACCGACGTTTTCCCCTATTGTGCCTCTGACTTGCTATTTGGAATATAATCTTTTTCCTGTTCAACCGTGTTCTGATTTGGGGACTTGTCGAGTGAATCGGTGTCCGAGAATACTAAGTAATAGGAATAGCTGGGTCATTAACCGTAAGAAAAGACAGAGTTATAACATTAACTTTAAAATTCCTTTGTATTATATAACAATTATATTAGCACCACATCTAAACTAACTAAATTTCGGATCTAGTGACTATCAAATAAGGACGAACTTTAGAATCCACATAATTTCACATGATGGAATTTAACATAAAAGCAGCGAAAGACTAAAATGCTGCTTACAACATATAAGGCTATTCCTAGTCGACTGTGTCCTGATTTTAGTACCAAAAGCGCCATTCATAGCACAAATGATTAGGTCTGAATAATAAAAGCTTTCTAATTTTCATTGGCTATGAGAGACCAGAAAAGTCAAATAATTAAACTGTCAAATATATATACTTAGAAATTAAGAAATGAGACACTCTGTAGCTTCTTTAAAATAAAAACTTAAAATGAGGCTTCACATTAACTGGGAAAGGTTTTACAAGTAATCACAGTAACGATGTCGGTAAATTGAAAATAAATGTTATGAACGTACACGGAAGAAGACTCTTCAATTAAGGAAAATAATTGAAATAAAATGATGATTAGACCTAGTGAATTGGAGTAATAGTCAGAATGGGGAAAAAATCAATCACTTTCCTCATTTGTACTACCAAGGCAACTGCAAGTTATCATATAACATACCCTAAACCTTAAAGTTTGGTTTTAACTCTCAGACTAGCATAGGGTCTGAAAATTTACGGAATCCAAAACTTCAACAGTAGAGATCATGAATCAACTGAAGCTAGACCACCATGGAAAACCTGGAAGCACGGAACGGCCGTTCCATCCTATTGCGAGACTCCTCAGCAATGCGCATCCACGACCCCGCCACGCGGGATTCGAACTCAGGACTTATTAGTCTCGCGCCAGGCGCCTAACCAACTAGACCACTGAGCCGGCATCCAACGGTTTTAATGTCTAACTTCATGACGTTTAAATAATCTCTATTAGACACACAAACTGACGGTCTAGATACAAAATACCCCACATCATACATAACGTTCATCGTACCTTTACATCTGTACCATCCGTTGGCATAAATTCCTCATACATATAAGATCCATTTGTTCGAATATTACTGTGTGGAAAGTACTTGCTGCTGCGATTTCCAACTTTTCGAAAGAGACGCTGACTGCCTCCTCCAGCGCTGCTAGGGAAGTAGATGTAGATATTATGATCTTCAGCATGCAAAGGTTTTTCTACGAATGGTTTGTGAAAAACCTCACCATTAATCTGAAATAAAAATTTATACTTTATTCAAGAGGTACCTCGGAAAATTGAAGACAAATCTAGGCTAGACAAACTTATTAGTGTGATAATAATCTGGCAAAGATACATTTAAAGACGGTAGACAATTGTTTGTACAAAAATATTGACTTATAAAATTGCCAAAGTTCAAGTAGTGGGACTAAGTTATTACTTTATATTGTTTTAATCGTATCAACTTACTCAAAATTTTCACATAAATTAGGTTTTTAAATGACCAATAAAACTTGACAAGATCAATTAAAACTTCTCAATGTCATAAAATTTCGTTCTGCTGACAGCCCACATAAAATATTCAGTAACTATCTACTAAAAATCTAATAGAGGAATACCAGAGTAATGAAAAACACTTTACTCAACAAAAAAAGATGCTTTGTTAACACAGTAGACAGAACAAAAAAAGAACACGATGAATATATTCATATCATTTCTTAATATTTTACAAGCAAATTTATGAGGTGGTTCTTTTCATCCAATTACTTCACACTAACTAAACTGACCAGAGCATTTTGCCACAATTTTGCTATGCGACTGCGCTCAACACAGAAAAGTAACTAATTTGAAAACACTGACGGAAAACGAGAATAAACGCAGTTCCATAACGTGTGCTAAGGGAAAATAGATAAAATATATTAAAGAAACTAGATATAATGTCGTACGACAATTTTATAAAACCTCATCTAAAACTTTTTATTCAAGTAGAACTAATCAATACTACCAGGACTTTTAAGCGTTACCTTTCTGATTTCCTCAGGTTATGAAAACCTGGCTAACTAGAACTATATGGCAGGTTATTATGTGTAAGCATGAAGCGAAACTAGCCTTCAATAATAAAATTGGTTGACTACATCCAATCAATGTTCGTTCTGCTCACGAAAGTTACACACGTACAGAGAAATTATGTTTATGAATATACATATGACTGATCGAGATTTTACGTTAATATTTTAATTATATTCATAATTTTATTCAAGCTGAAGTTTCATGAGTTTAAATTTATTCTCAGACATGTTAGGAAACGTTAGAAAACCTTTAACAGCCTGAAAACAACATGCTAATCATGGAAATTCTAAAGCCAACTTCATGATACATAACATGTAAAATAAAGTGGCAAGAAGTTAATCTCCAGTTTAAGGTGGTGCGTGTTGGTGTCTTTGAGATAGGATTGATTAATTAAAAGCTATAGATGGGTTTAATAGAAACCGTCAGAAAGCTTCAAAAGCTGATTCTAAGACCACGGCTAACCCTGTTCCTTTACACATGATCTACTACGTCATAACAAATAAAAAAAACATAGTTACGAGCCAGTCGAATTTCCGGTGGGACTATGATTTATGGACGGCCTTTGAGTAACGCTCAAGTGACCTAAGAATGTTCAACAACGCAAACCGGTAATAAGCTAGTGCCGAAATGATATTTAACTAAATGGTTAAATGAATTTCGGGCCAAAATTCAAGACATGCTAACTTAAATTTGACTAGTTCGTCCATAAATAATAGTCCCGTAGAATTTTCTCAGGTTTACAATTGAAAGTGCTGAGGTTTATCTCAATGTACAAATCTATCTACTAACTGAAATTCTTGTATTCCAAAACAAATAGTCTTACCCGCACTAAAATATTAAGAAGTGCTACTCAATACTGTATACCTAAAAATTAAGCGTAATGGAAGTCAGCTAATAAAGTATACCTCAGGTCTTTAGAAAAATCACTAACCTCAATTGAATCGTCAAGCTCAACAACTTTCACTGGGTTTTCTGATGTTCTATCAACAAATGCGTATCTCGGAACTGGAACACCTTCTCTCGTCAAGCACTCATAAACCCTTCTTCTATCCATTAAAATGTATTGGGACTCAAGATCATTGACAAGGTAAGGCTTCCGCAGCTTCGAATAAGCAATAGCTTTTTTGAGAGGAAATCCTTCAGAATAAAAACTGACCAGTGCATCACAGATGGGCCATGACTCTATTGGTGAATCTAATATCATTTTCTCGTCAAATATTATTATCTTAATGTGCTGGAACTTGTCCATTCTTCTCAAAATTTCCTTCATTGGTTTTGACATCGCTTTCTTTGCCATTGCACAAACTCCTATTGTGACTACTACATCACTATCGTCCGTCCTTTCACCCATATTTCAGTCACATAACCGTAAGTAGCGCCCTAAAAGTACATTTCAGGCACCTGAACGTAGAATTGACGTATCTAAACAAACAAATATCTAAATAGAAAAATCTCAATCTGCCGAAATAGAAATAATCTGTCTCTTAAAAAAATTAAGAGATCAATATCACATGAAATGCTGTTTCGAGTTATGTTAAATTATCTCTGAATTGTGTAATCTTATTGAGCCATACAACAATATTCCGGATATTGGAGAAGAATTTCTGTAATGCAAAGACATATGTCTGTACTTCTAACCTTCGAAAATCTGTGTCGGCATCAGATTAGTAAGTAAAGGTTTACTACATAATACTCTTGTTTCGGCCAATGAGGCAACATCTCAGTATTATGAGGAAGCAGTAGCACCGCATAAGGGATAAAGTACGATTACGGTTAGTCCTAGGTATTTTCAAATTACTTTATAATTATATGCGCCATAAAGACGCTCACTCCATCGGATCATACGAACCCCCTCATACACACTTTGGACACTGATCTGCTAAATAACCTTGCTGTAAGTGGATCCATGGGACATGACATGACACATAGGTTACCAAAGTATGGAATGATGTATTAACGAGAAGCCCTGAGGACTCGCGTATTTGCAGAAAATGATCTGTCGTACTAAATTAGTGAGCAGTTTGCATTGTTGAACACTCAACAAATTACTCAACATAAATAAAATTTTCGGCAGCCAATGTGAACCAAAAATCATCTGAAATAACGAGAATAACATGGGCAGAAGAATAATGTGTTCACTTGCACTTTAAACACAAATTTACACGATATTTTAATGTCCAAGTTCCTAGTGATGATACTGCGGTTACGTGTAAGCCTAATGTATTGCCCATTGCAATAACTGTCATGTCTGCGTTCATGTACTCATGTGATTTGTCATTTTATAATGTATTTTTTAATAAATATATTGAGTATGCTGTGAATTTTGCTCTGGTTGTAATTTTGATTCGCCACGTCTGACCGCGTTACACTGTACTTTAATTGCCTGCTTGTATTATATCCCGAGTCATATTAAGTTTAATCACATCATTGATTGTTTACAAATAGACCATCAGTGTGTAGTGTTACTGAAGAAATGTCTGTTGTTCTGCAAACCTTGTTTTTATGAACAACTGACTGTTGTCTTAAGTCTCAAAACAATATCATTTGTCTTCAGGTAGGTTAGTTTAACTGGCCTATAGTTCTTGTTTTGGGTTTATCGGCTGAATTATGTACATTTAACTACTTTGAGTAACATGCCTGTGCAAATGAAACAATAATTATGACACTTGCTTAGTTTACTATTCTTGGTTGTTGTTTAATTCAGTTTAGTCTATGGAATTATATTATACCTGAGTATAGTGCTTGAAGCCTGTAGGGAAACAGATCAGTTTATTAAGTAGAGCCTCCTGCTTTTTTAATGAGTATACTGATTCAAATCAGTCTGACTAAAAATCGGAAAAAAAGTGCCTTTGATGCTGTTGCTGTCATGCCTTATAAGAAAGCAATAAGCATGTTTGGTGTTTATTTGTAAACTGTACATCTAGCACTGACCATATTTCAAAATTTTTGTCATTAAACAATTTCTTCATAGGTTAACTGAAATAGAAAATACAGATATTAGCTTAATAGGTTTATTTAGCAAGACTAGTATCTACTTTGAACTTACTGTGTGAGAAAGTTATACTGAAACTACGAATGTTGTAGGAATCCAGTTTCCCAGGGCGTATGAAGCACTCAAACTAGAATACAGTTGTCCAAAAATAATTCGAATATGAAGGTGAGAATTTTCATGTACTTGACGTCATACCGTAAAAAACACAAATTTACGGGTGATGAAATATGATCTATGAAAAAGTGAACTTAACAGCAGTTAATTACCACTTTAATCCCTGATCATAACGCTCCGGCTTTCTTTTACGGCCAAAACAGCAAACATACACTACACACTGATATCATATTTCCTGTTTTTCAATGTTATGCTTGTTTTCACGCATGACGTAATGAGTACAACTCCTGTATTACTTTATATGGTATTTTTTTAATAACAAACTCTCTGCATTAGATTGGTAGCATCTGTGACTTCGTTTATGGTTGTCCGAAGTCTGAGTCCTTTTGAAAATAATACTGATATCCTCTACTGCTGAGCACCTAGTATTAGTTTGACTCGTTGATGGGATAGTGTTGTCCATAATACTGAAGAAAATTAAAAACCGATGATCGTTTTCTTTCATTTCGCCGATAACATCAAAATGGGCCGTTGGGAACGAACATGCAGACAGTTAGTCACAGGTGGCAGCAACAATTATTTTTAGCTAAAACAACTACGGTTTGAATATCTAAAAACCAAGTCAAAACAAAACCGATTATCATTTTAAAACATAAGACTGATGAGCTTGCCTGAAGAAATACAATGACTCCAGTAGCAGCAGCAAAACGTGGAAAACAAAGCTAAATCAGAAAGTATTTGCTACAACATTTACGGTATTACATTAATTTCTACATTTTAGCACACTGAAACATTATATTATGTAGGTAAACAAAAGAAATAGCAGAAAAAGCACACAACGAAGAAAGCCGGCCGACGTTGCTTACAAAGATGGCAGGTATAATATTTGCCGCGTCATTCTGATTGGTCACTAAACAGACTGTCACGTTTACGAAATCCAGTTGCGTTTAACTGTAGACGGGCACCGGGGTAAGCCAGGGGCTTTCGCGCACATGTTACATATAGTCATGGATTTTTGTGTCGCTATTTATCATCTATAAACAGCCTTTTTTCCATCACATGTCAAGTTTCGTAACGTTTGTAATTGTCAAGTAGTTTTTATTCCAATTTATTAGCAGTTTGACGTGTTTGTTGCTCACCACCTAAGTGAATCTTTTGTAAGCCTATTATGGCTATTTGTAACAATACAAACTGAAGCAAGTAAAATTCGCCATTTTTCAAGTCAAAAAATAGATCACAAATTGAGTTTTCAGGAAAATAAGCTATAAAACCTATAGCATCTGGTTCACTTCTTTGATTATGGTGATGATGAACATGGATGTTGGCAGTTGTTTATAAAATATAAGTAGAAGCAATTAAGCATTAATCTATTTACGAATATTATATAACTTGCTAATATTTAGCCATAAACATTTTTATCCATTATAAGTATCACCGTTTTGTACTGAAGTGACATATTATGTTACGCATCTGTGAAGAACTATGTGAGTAACAGTTGACGCTGATACTCTTTTCCACCCGCCTTCTGAACGTATACAGGAACGGTGTATAACACCACTGGAAGTGCCACATTAAGTAGTCAAAAAGTCCTCATAAGTAAAACGATGCGTGCTTCTTTTAAGCTTGGTGACAGAACAATGTCGTAGTTAATACTGATTTATGATGTTTCTGTTACAGGACTAACAAATAAGTTCCTGTAGACAGAATCCATAATCACTGACCAAATTATGAACAAACTTATTGTAAAATGTGATTGATAGACGAACCCACCAATAATAAGGGAAACGCTCACCACCACATCAAATTTTGACCTTGTACGACTGTATCTCTTTATTAACCAATCACAGTTTAATGTTCATTGTAAAACAATATTGGCTTGCTGAATCATTTTTCCTATTCTCTGGGTGCTTTCCTCAATGTGTGTCCTATCCACATCCAGCGCTTCTTCCTCCTCTGGGATCTAGTTTCTTCTCTCTCACAGTACGTTGTTGCTAATACTGTCCGGCCAATGGATCTGAAGTATTTTGTGTAGACAACTGTTAATAAACACCTGTATTTTCTGGATGATGGGTCTCGTAGTTCTCCAGGTTTCTGCCCCATACAGTAGAACTGTCTCGACATTTTTATTGAAAATCCTGACCTTGTTGTTGGTTGACAGTTGCTTTGAGTTCCAGATATTCCTCAGTTGTAAATATGCTGCTCTTGCTTTGCCGATCCGCGTCTTCACATCTGCATCAGATCCACCCTGTTCATCAATGATGCTGCCCAAATATTTAAAGGTTTTTACATCTTCCAAATCTTCCCTGTCACTTGTGACTGGATTGATGCATGCTGTGTTGTATGGGAGAATCTTGCTTTTCCCTTTGTGTATATTGAGACCTACTCCTGCTGAGGCTGCTCCCACACTGTTCGTCTTCTCCTGCATTTGTTGTTGCGTTTGGGATAGAAGGGCCAGATCATCTGCAAAGTCTAGATCGTCCAGCTGCATCCTAGATGTCCATTGTATCCCGTGCTTCCCTTCAGATGTTGACGTCTTCATGATCCAGTCCATCACCAGGAGAAAGAGAAAGGGTGAGAGTAAGCAACTTTGCCTGACACCAGTCTTCAATTCGAACGACTTTGTCAACTGTCCTCCACGCACGATTTTGCAGTGTAATCTATCATATGAACTCCATGTTGTTCTGTCCACTCTATCAAATGCTTTTTCGTAGTCAATGAAGTTGATGTAGAGTGATGAATTCCATTCACTTGATTGTTCCACAATGATCCGTAGAAATACGATTTGGTCTGTACACGATCTATCCTTACGGAATCCTGCCTGTTGTTCACGAAGTTGGGCGTCTACGCAGTCCCTCATCCTGTTTAACAATACCCTGATGAAGACTTTTCCAGGTATTGGGAAAAGAGTGATGTACCTGTAGTTATCATACTTGCTGAGATCGCCTTTCTTTGGTATTTTGATCAGAATTCCTTCTTTCCAGTCTGTTGGTACTTGTTCCTCATCCCAAATCTTATTGAAGAGAATGCGGAATATCCTTGCAGTTGCCGCTACGTCTGCTTTCAGTGCTTCTGCTGGAATGTTGTCTGGTCCTGCTGCTTTGCCACTCTTGATTTGTCTGATGGCCATGCTGAATTCTTCAATTGTTGGTGGGCCAACATTAATTGGGAGGTCCGTGGGTGCTGCATCGATGTTGGGTGGGTTCAGTGGAGCTGGTCGATTCAAGAGTTCTTTGAAGTGTTCTACCCACCTGTTTTGTTGTTCTTCAATGTTGGTGATTACCTCGCCTTCGTTGCTTTCCA